GGGGGGCTTATTAATTTAGAACTCAATAAAGAACTCAATTTTATGATCTCACTCTCTCGATGGACCTTATTTAGCCCTGTTATGTTTTTGGCATCGCTCTGTAATTTACGTATACCGTATTCTATTGATACCAACATAACATCAGTCAATCAATCACCATAATTTTAAATGACAAACTAAAATTACAGTACTTGAATAAATTTATCGTACTTACTGACATGGAGTGTTATTTTGAATTTTTGTTTTTTGAGGGGGAGGGGTGGGGGGCTTAATAAATTTCTTCCTCTGAAGAGAGGGGGTTATTAGAAAGAGGTGGCTCATTAGAGGGGGGGGGAGGCTTACAAGAGGATTTACGGCAGTTTCATCTTGGGTCATCCCTGTCTCTTTGTTGATCGTCTACGCTACGTGGCGGACATGTCAAGGGTTTACTCTACCAAAAGATGAAAATGACCTCTAAGCGCCCCTATCAATATCACGCACGGTATTTCATTTTGAATATGACTTACTAGCACTGGTAGTCGAAGTATTTCGGACCAAGCTCGGTCTGACAGCCAATCTTGGGCGGGGTTCTCAATCTCCTTGGGAATAGCGGAGCCACCAGCCAATAGGAAACGCCACTCATCCTGAAAGAGGACAATATATCAGCGTCCAAGAAACGATTATCAAAAATTTAAGACACTACAAGTTAAGGTATCAATGCTCACCATGTTGATCTTGTTGTCGTTCATCAGGATTCTGACGCACACGAGGAATGAGAACAAAAGTTTATCTTTTTCGAACAAGCTGCGACACACGTTAGAGTACAAGCTGAATGTGAAATAGTTGTTGATGTTCTCGATTCGCTTTTCCAAGTTATCTGATACGAGGGAGGAAAAAAAAACACAGATTGTCAGGTATTAAACAACCAAAAAAGGAATAAAAGGCGAAAGCTCAGCAATAAGTTACTTTTAACGTGTCAGAGAAACAATTAGACTACATACCTGACGCATCAGCGTTAGCTATGCTGTTAAGAAAGATGCGGATAAACCACTCCAAAGAGTACTGGTACATAGGGTCTATGTTGGCCTGGAAAAATAATCAATAAAAGTTACGCTAAAAGAGGACCGCCATCAGGGAAATTAGTTTGACGGGTCCTTTCCTTTCAGTTTCTGTATTATGTGAATCAACTCCTAAAGCAAACCTGTTCGTAAATTAATTTTCTGGTCGAGGATGCGATGGGATATTTTAGGTGATAGACTTACACGTGGCATTCACGTGATCTCCGGGTCATCTAGAAATGTGAAAGGAAATGCTTACCAAGTCATAAGTACAGAAGAAGAGTATCTGAGTTCTGACAGCTACAGGGATGTATTGACTACGTGTCTCGTCAATATCTTTTTCAGTCTGTTCTGCAATCACCACTTTAGCCTGAAACGATGAACGTAGTTTCACTTACCAAGGAATTGATGACTTAAAAGCGTCTCAATATAAATAATAAAAGAACAGAATTTGACGCAATCTTACGTTTAAAGTTTCCAACATCAATTAGATAGCAAATAAAGGCTGGCTCGCTTAGACAGTTGACAAATACTGCCTGCGTGCAATGGGAAAGACGTCGAGCCAATCAAACGCTTCACTACCAAGGAGTAAGTGTTGGTAACGTCATCTCTCGTTCTCCCAACAACTAAATCGCCCGAGGATACAAACAGTACTAACCACTAAATTTTGCGAATTATCTCTTGCGCGCAAGCGTGATTTCGTAACAAAGGGTTAAGTTTGGAGATTTTCTGACAACTCCACACTGATATCTTCTTGCACGGATCGCAGACATCGCACATATACAAGGATTTGGCACTTTCCTCACTAGCAATCTAATACTTCTTAAAGAGGACGCGCACACAGACACACACACACACACAAAAAAAAAAAAAAAAAAACGGACCAGAAGTTTCCCCATTTACCTTGATTTCCATGGACTTGGCTTTGGACTGCTCTAGCGTGTGAATTAAATCAATATCATCCACAGGGCTGCCTTCAGATGCCGATAGTTTGTGGAGAATCTTGTCCTCAATCTCTTTGAGCTCTTGTTTCATTTTTGCATTGCTGACAATCAACTGATTCTTAGCTTCTTCTAAATCAGGCCTCTCCTCAGCAACCACTAGAGCTAACAGCTGATCTTCAAGACCGCTACAAAACAAAAAAAGCAAAAAAACTAACAGTAAATCACAAGTATTTTGGGAGAAGGCAGACGAGAGAAACAGGACTTGCACGACACAGTTAGGTATGTAGGTAGGCTTTATTTAGCCAGGGTGGCCCATTCAGCAACGAGGCTGATATCCAGAGGGGCCCTGGAGTAAAAAATTACAATAGTTAAGAATACAAGACATCTTGAAAGCTGAAAATACAGGATAAAATTTAAAAATACAAAAAATAATTTATTAGTTCTACTAATTCTTCGTAATCTATGATGGAGAGTTACTTTAAGCACATAAGCTGCCAATACTGATTTTATTTTATAGGAGAATGAATGTCAGCATGAGAAGCGTCACGAAACCAAACCTGACGTATTTACCGAAACAGGTAAATATCAAGGTAAAGGTAAGGTAAATATCACAAGGAAAAAAGTGAAAACTCAAGGTAAAACAAACAAACTGGGTGTGGCAAAGGAAGACTTGAAAAAACAGGGCATAGTAATCTTTAGCTTGCATCTATTCGGTTATGAAGAAGATTCCATGGGTTGAACAATCACGGAATAAAGAGGATAAAAAGCAAGGGTTAACTGAAAATTGCACCATAAGCGACTATTTTTTCCAACTACTGCTAAACACAAGAACGTTTATTTTTGGCTTGTCGTTTGTGTGTTGCATGACATATCGACTATGTTTATTTAATATAACTTGACAAAACGATTTCGTTTCTACCACCATTCTACGTACCCTGGTGAAAGAGTGAAGTTGACAATTGTGACCTTTGTGGACACCTCAGGAGTGTAGTGTGGGTTAGGAAGCTTTGTAGTGATGTAAAACTTAAAGTCATCGTGGTAAGGGATAATGGCGTCTCCGAGTTTGATCACTGTACTGCCTGACTGCTTGAACGTCTGAAACACAAAATTATTTCACCATATGCGCAACACAAAGACACATGATAAGATCGCCAATAGTTGTGTTTTCGCGGGTTCATAGGGTTCACAACTGAACTGTTACCTCACAACTGTGAAGAAGGTACCGTAAATCCTCTTTTAAGCCCCCCCTCTAATAACCCACCCCTCTTTAGAGGAAGAAATTTATTAAGCTTCCCCTCTATTAAGCCCACCATCCCTCCCCCTTAAAAAAAAAACTCAAAATAACACTCCATGTTAGTAAATACGATAAATTTATTCAAGTACTGTAATTTTAGTTTGTCATTTAAAATTGATTATGGTGATTGAATGATTGATGTTATCATGTTGGCATCAATAGAATACGGTATACTGAAGATTTTGACTCTGCCAGTTTGGTAAATGTAAAAAATGTAAAATGAGAACAATAATTGAATAAATACAGTACATCATATCCTATTGTATCCTGGTAGTGAACATCGGGCTAAATTAATGACCCCATCCCCGTCTAATAAGCCCCCCCTCCTCTAACAAGCCAACCCCCAAAGTACCTGAAATAAATAAGCCCCCCCCCCCCGAAAGGCTTCTTAGAGGATTTATGGTACATCTAACAGATAAAGTTTATATCACAGTCGCAACATTATGGGGCAGATGAATCGCCCTTGCACCTTTCAGAAATTGACATTTTAATTTTGAATAAATATATCTTATTAGACGTTTTGTTGTGTAGTATCGCTGAGTATTTTTACGAGTTGTGCCGTATTTTGACGAGCCCGTAGGGCGAGTCAAAATACAAATAACGAGTAAAAATACTCAGCGATACTACACAACAAAATGTGTAATAAGTTATTTATTATCCAACACGCCAAACTGTTATTTCAGTGCGGGCGAATTTCGCAGATGTTTATTTACGGGGAGTGCGTGACAGAAGTATGCGAAGTAGAACGGAATTGGCGCGTTGTTGTGCTGCTGTTTCTATTTTCTTCATTAAATGAAGAAATTTTCTCTCCGTCAAGCTGTTTTTCTTCGTTTGATTCATCTAATGAACTTGGATCTATATTTGCCAGCCATTCTGACTCTTCGTCGTCGGAAATATGATTCAAATTGTCCGCCATTTGTTTTTTTTTCGTAACTACAATCCAATTCTTCGCTTGCGCGATGCGAGAAAACCTGTTTAACCGGTACTCTACAATAGACGAGTACATAGACGAGTACAAATACCGCGTAATATTTGTACTCGTCTATGGCGTTATTTGTACTCGTCTAGATGTACTTGGATAATAAAGAATGATAGTTTCGAAAGAAACTGTTTGTGGCTGCGTCGGTGGGAGTAACGAAATAATTTGGATATATCAACAAAGTTTAGCCCTCCGACGAAGGGCTAACGCTCGAAACGTCAGCTTTTGTAATCGTTACGGTGGCCAATTTACCATTTCAACTTTGTTGATAAATCCAAATTATTTTAATTTTGAGCTGTGTTCAAATATCTATCTTCAAAAATAGATGTACAATTTTCTTACTTGTTTTAGCAAGATAGGTTCTAAAGCTGGATCCAGTTCCTCTCCAACATTTTCCAACAAGCACGGTTTACCGAAACGCACAGCGTTTTCTAAGCTTCTTAGGAAATCTCGGTCGCTGAGTTTGATTACGTCAAGACCAGCGTCTTTTTCCTAAGGAACCAAAACCTTTTAGTCATGAAAACAAATTAGGTTATAACTTTACATAATAAGCAAATCAATTCAGGGATGTGAATTGACTCAAGGAAGAATGAAAAGGTACTCTTAACTTGATTAAAATAAGGTTGGAAAAGAAAAATGGGCCAGCAAAAAAAAACATGCAAATAAACGAATGAACTACTGAAATTGGCAGCCGAGATGAACCAATTATAAAATCCTCGAAGTGACGGGACATAAGTCCGGAAATGGAATTGGTTTTCGCATAATCTGTTGGTTGGTAAATTCCTTTAACACATGGTCACACGGAGACGCTTACAATCAGATCCATTCAAAATCATATTTTATCCTTGGTCTAAAATTGGGTTGATCCTTCATAATTAGCAAGTACTATCTCGAAATTGTGGCCCATTTTCAATCTACGCGAGATTTTCAACCACATGAGATGTGATCAATGCAGGTGTCAAGACCTGGTTAGCTAATGAACTTACTAAGCTCTTAATCCACTTATTAGCCTGCCCTTGAGGGTCAATAAAAAGCGGCCATCTCTGAGAGAACTGCACAATAACACCATTCTCCACAGACAGCGTGTCACGGGGCAAACCAGCGATCTGCCAGTTCCGAATCTTTACAGGATCTCCAAGTGTTGGCACGAGTGAACAGTTGTCTGAATGAGGGATTTCCAGACCACGTAATTCTCTTAACCATTCCTCGACCATTGATACGCGGTATTCGCCCTGAGGATGAAAGAGAATCATTTTTTCTTTTCAGTCTACGCAAATCGTAGGGGAAGGAGGAGGTTCGGATACTTTTCTTGCCCGTCACGTGATTGAACGACTAAGTCCTCTTGAAGTTCACAATGATGAGGCTGATGGCATAGATGATAATGATGACGAAGAAAAAGACAATAAAATTACTATAATATACACAGTGACACTGTTTAATGATGTTTTTAATGATAATGACAATGATAACGACAATGACAATGATATTGATTGTGATAATGATAATGACAATGACGATAACAATAATAATGACAATGATAATGATTATGATTGTGATAATGACAAAGACAAAGCGTAAAGTTTACTTCTGTAGATAGCGCATGTTAAAGAGAATAGAGATAAACACGGAGACACGAAAAGGCAGATCAGTGAGATTTTGGTAAGAGAGAGGTAACAGGTGAACTCGGGGATCTTGGAAAAAAACATAGCGAGGGGGCCTTGAACCGGTGGCTACCGAATAATAGGATCAACCCCTCACTACTGTGTCACGCTGAATCTTTGACTCGCAATATTCCAGTTAACTTTGCAGCGGATATTCTTCCTAAATCTAATTTTCTTGATGGACTGAAAGTTTTGTCTTGAACGGTAGTAAAACTACTTCGGTGTAAGTAACTTAATTGCTTCCCCTGAGAAACAAAGCTGCAAGAAACATGGGGAAAACATTGAGGCAATTGGTGGATCATCAGTTCCTTGTCCCCCGACAAAGTAAGCCGCCATACACAGGTGTCATAATTTATGACCAACTCAAAAATCTTTTTAAAACGAAGGACTCTGTAATAAGCAAAGCAAGTCATAATCAGCCTCGCAGGTGATCAGCTTGCATGAACAAATGTAAATTACGTGGCTTGTCTAGCTCTCCTTCAAAAAAAAAAAACATCAGTCGATGGAGACAAAAAAGGATACTGTTGTCAAGATGAAACTGATCGGTTTCAAAAAAAAAAAAAAACTAGAGGACGAATTTTAGACATGTTTTGCATCTATTAAAGGTCGCAACAATCACTTTTAAGGGAGAAAAACATTTTGTCAAATGCTAGTCCATATGTGCTATTCAAGCGCTAATGAGTCAATGGACACCCGCCCGAGGATATATAGCAAACAGACCAAAGACGACAACGTCAATGTTTGTGACTTAAGCATAGAGGTAAACAAAAGACTTCTCAACAGGTCACGTTCGCCTGAAAATGGTAACCATTTTCCCTTTTTAATGACCATTAACAGATGAATAGATACGACATTTTTGAAAACGGTAAGAACATAAAATTTATCACAGTACAACAAAACGTAGTTTAGAGATCATTCTATTTGAAAAATACAAATAACTATTGTTTTTAGGAACAATTCAGAGCACGTACTCATCTTGTTCAGCAAAAAAGTGCATCCAAACTTACTCATGACATTGACCCTTTTAGACAACTTCTTCTTAAAGTGAGTTCTAAATCTGGGTGGCACATCAAGTTTATGTCACTAAACTGCAGCTGCTGGCGAGTTTCTTTTTTGAACTCTTTAGCCTGTTAAACACTGTATTCCAATTGCAAGAAAAAGTAAAATGGCGCTCCACCGCCAAAAGAAATGTGGTACTTTTTCTTTGTTTGAGCTTCATCAAATCCTCGTAGACAACAAATCTTTTAAAACTTGCGACTACTACTGCAGCACTAACGAATAACAAAAATACATTTTTCAAATTTTCCAAAAGTCAGGCCGGGGTGGCATGAAAATTTTTCGCCGTTAAATGGTAAAAAGATTTAATAATTTTCGGTTTCCAAGTATTTAAAACGAGGGCCAACCTTTTGCGATCTCTATTAAACACAAGACACGCGGTTGGTAAGCTTTGAACCAAAGCAAGATATTTGATCCTCTGCCCACAAGCCTCACTTATTGCCGAAATTGCGACTACTTCCAGGAGATCTGTTGTGGATCACTTTACAAGGACTTGCACTTCATGAACTGAACAACTAGTCAGTGTTATTGCACGCATTATTCAGTGAAATTCCAACCCTTGGCGTCGTCACAGATGTTTCTTTACTTTTCCCCATTGTAGAAAGGACTTGACACCAAAAGACAGGTTTGTCTCTTAAGTAACGGTAACAATCTTTCAATCAAAGACGGGAACGCTTGTAACCTTCAGCCAGGTTACACGGTAATATGGTGGTGGGCTGTGGCGTTACACAAGGTAAATTACTTTAAGTTTTTTTCTTTTTTTTTTTTTCAGAGTTAGCAGTTCATTGCTACACACGATTTTCCCCTTCTTTAATCGAGTATTTGTTTTTTCTTCACTGGTTTTGACAACGTTTGTGGAACTATTAGTCAGTATAATCGTTACGATCATTTAGTTAGGCGAACCCCTCGGCTGGTGTGGCAGTATTGCCCATGCTTACTGTGTTTGCAGGAAGTACTTCTTCGTTTTCTTTACGCCACCGCAGAATCCTTACAAATGCTTTTCGGAAGTTTGGTAAACGCCAGGCATAAATAAAAGGATTCAACCCCGAGGAACACAGAACAAAGACGAACTGCATGTCACGACAGACGTGGATTGTGTAACAACTGCACGACGAGCACAGATTCATAACGTATATCATGACAAGCGATGGCGTATAACAACACAAAAATAGCCCCAACATGACAACAAACGCCTGCGTAATGTTCCTCTCAAAAGCCGCTGCTCTAATCTTTGCTCGGTTTTCTTCTGTTTGCGAGCTGTTCCGTAGCATGTTCCACTCCATAACCTGAGCTCTCATTTTTCTCAAGGATCCAGCGTAAGTCGCCAGAAATATGACCAAAGTCAACGCTATGGCCGTGTTTGCGAAAACAAATGTATAAGGTAAATATCCGACTTCGAAGTAAATAAAGGGCAAAGTGAACGAGACGAGCCAAATTGTAGCCGCAATTACGGAGGCGCGTGTGGTGGTCAGTCTTGCTCGGTATTGTAGAGGATGACTTATGGCTGTGAAGCGATCAACTGTCAGGGCTGCGAGATTCAATACTGATGCGGTGCAAGAGATGAAGTAGGACATGTGGATAGACCACACGTTATTCAACTTTAGGGAAAATCCCTCGCGGAAATGCATGTATATCGATAGTGGCTCCACCACCATACCCACGATCAGATCTGAAATGGCCAGATTTATCACGAAGAAAGTAAATGGCGTCCTCAAGCGTTTGTACGGGTCTGTCAACACTGCCAAACAAACTAAAAAGTTACCAGGTATGGTAAGGAGAGCAAGACCAAGAGAAAGTGCTGCTGTTATGAATGGAAGGGTATCAGGTGCTGGTACCCCGTCACAAGAATTCCCGCCGAAAGTCATCTCTGAAAACTCGATCGAACGTCAAAGACTTGCGTTTAAGCTTTTTAATCCAACGTGTCTTCAGTTAGCTATTAATTTCAGTGGTTTTCGACGACTATTTTAGGAAAAAAATGGGATTAATTTTGATTGATGGCTATCAAACTGTGCCGGCGCTTTCGGTTCCGGCCGCGAATTTGGGCTTGACTCCCACTGTGCAGCTTAACCTTACGACTGCTATCTTTAACACTGAAAGACGATGTAGCACTGACTTGAAATAGAACTTGTTGGAAACGTGCCACATTGAAAGCCCAATAGTTTGCCTTCGAGCACAAAGAAACCGCAAGCACGGGCAGCTGTTCAAAGAGTGTGATCTGCACTACACAATAGATGACGCTTTTCACTTTGTGGGCAACGGTGCAATCAAGCCTCTTGACATGATCTCCTAGTGGATATTGCATCACTAACTTAAAATAAAAGGAATCTTATAATTCTGAATTTGAAACTCAGCTATCTTCAAACAGTCTTATGCTAGTGGAACGCTTTACATGCTTCTGTCAGTAAGTATTGATGGATAGCAGTAATTCACCGCTGTCACTTAATCCTAATGCAGCTGACAGGCTTAATTGCATTCTCACCTCGTCGGAAATGGAATCTTGATTAATAAAAACCCGGTAAGGATTTAACCTTCTGTAAAAATGAACGAAACTTTGAGAAAAGCCTCTAGTATCATTAAGCCCCCTTAATAACGAAAAAACATAAAAACGTAAGTTCAATATACAGCTAGCATTTTGAGAAAAGAGAAGGTTTGATCAGATCCGTCGAACTTTCCATTTTTAGGAAAATCTCATTTGCTTCAAACAGCAAACAACCCCAGACCGGTGCAATAACTGCAAAATGTGAAAGCAAATATCGTGGCCTGTGACACTTCCCACAAGATATCGTTCAAACGAAGCTGATAGGAATCAACTTCAAGTGGAGTTGTATAATATCTATAGCTTAACAAGTCCTTCCTTTTTCTCAAACATTTACATGAAAGGAAGGCAGGAGCTATCAAAAAGTGAATTATTCGATTTCGGCGAACGTGACAACAAAGTATACACACATTTCATGAACTAACAGAGAACGCCCTCAGGCATCGAAACACTATTTCTACTGCTGTGAATTGAGAAGCACGTCATTAAAAGGGGAAAAATTTACTTGAAGATGAACTGAAAATGGGTGAACAGCAATGTAGTTTATAGTGTCGATTCTTTATTACTTCGTATCTAGTTTCTGACGTTGTCTAATCCAGCCTGAAGTTGAAAACATTGATTGCAAGTTATCAAAGAAAACAGATGCAGTTCGGAAAATCTCCTACATTTGAAAGCTTTAAAAGAAATTCAGTATAATTCTCTTTGTAAGGAATTTGATTATTGGATGCTCTAAAAAAATGGAAACAATTATACTGAAAAGGCTTCTGACGAAGGGATAAAGAAACCCCAGATTAAAATTAAACCTTGGGTTAGTGTTCCTTCGAACAACTGGGTCCAAAGTGATAAGAAAGCCATTAACATAAGTTATAAAGGTTGAACTATCAACACTTCATTAAGCAAACTTATGGCGTCCCATCGGGGCCAAAATTCAACATTGCGATTTGACATTGTACTTTTAGTATTCTTCCTTATTTCGCTATTGGACATTCAAGTTTTTATTCCTTATGAAACTTTTTCCGATTCAAAATTGTCTTTTTTACAATTAACTTCCAAGTTTCAAGTATTAATCACTGTACTTCTCGTAATTCCACTTTGTAGTTGTGGCAATGCAATATTTTTGTACTTATGGTATTGATGTATTCAACATGCAGTACTTCGCGCTATTCAACATTCAACTTTCCATCATCCAACCACAACCCAGCTATTAACGAATGTAAGCCTCATAACTTCGTAAAATGCCAATATGGTGGTCAGACTTCCTAACGCTTCTTGGCTATGCGCGGAGAAAATTATATTATGAGTGCATGTGTTTCCAAATAAACACTTCCTTTTTAGCGATCAACACTGAGGAGAAACGGTACCTTTTCTTGCTAAAGCTTACAGGCAATTTTTCATGGATATCCCACATTTGAAGAAACCTTAACAGTGGTATATAGTTTTTTAAACGAGAAAAAATCAAACCTTATCGGCACGTGTGAATGATATTTAAGCTAACAGGTCATTTCAAACTCACCGTAAAGGTGCCAAGGTAGGCGATGACCCCGGATGAAATCATGACGTCACCAACAATATTTACAATCTGACCATCAAATGACAGCACTGATTCATGCCAGCGGATTTTTTCGTCACCGAGGCCACCAATCAACTGTGAAAGGAAAGAAATGCAAGCTTTCGTCTCCACGAATTACATTATTCATGTCGGGCTCCATAGAGAAAGACTCATACACAAAGTTATCACTAAGGTATAAGCGCACGAGGAACAGTCCTTGGGAAAACATTTAAGAGAAAACATTTAATTAATTATCTCCAAGCTTCATGCCAAAAACAGTTCTACCAGCTTCAGTAACACGTTTTACCCACAATTAATGCTATGCTTCTTTTTCTCAGGTAATAGTATTTCATCGCAAGCAAGCAGTTAGTTTAGATAATTCTCCGACAATTCGTTAATATTCAGTTACGGCGGCATTAGAAAACAAACAGGAATGGCCCCAGAATACGACAAAACCCAGCTGTTTGACTCAGAAAAGAGCTAAACAAAGTCTGTTTCAAATTTGTCAGAACTGGCGTCTCGGACAAGACCAGCAGGTCTGTTTTTAACGCAACACCATGTAACACCGACCTTTTCAGCTCGACCCAGTCTGGCCGAGCACTGTTCTGTTTTGAATTCTAATTCCTGTTTCTTGGCAATACACTCCTCGTATTTGGCCTGAAGGGACGCAATGCCCTCCTCCACCTCGGCTAGCCGAGCTTTAGCTTCCGCAAGAACTCGCTGGGTTTCTTGTAGCTCTTCTGTGGCTTGTTTTAGAGCAGCCTATAGAGGAAGAATAAGCCACGAGAATGACAAGTCATCCTACATATTTCTGCTTTTGTCCCTTAAGGCTTCATTTCAGCAAAACCTATGAAATGACGCCTCTCTTTTTAAAAAATAGTTTTTTCTGGTATTTGGATAATTCAACATAATTTATGAAAAATTCTTAGAGCATCGATACACCCGTCAGCTGCGTCACACATTTATAGCCACTTTAAACGCTAAGTTAGAGAATAGATAAAATAAAAAAATTCAAATATCAGTTCGCTCAGGTAGACAAACATCATCAAGTACGAATAAACTAAAAATAATCCAGGATGGTTTAGGATAACGCAAATTTACGCGGATTGTAAATAACGCCCTTCAAAAAAATTTCGGGAAAGAAAAACCGCGACGTAGCTCACTTTAGTCCTAGGATGTCAGGTAATCGATCAGCTGGCCTGTTAATCAGTCATTCTGTTTTGAATAGGGGGGGGGTGACACATGGCGGAATCGGGCAGCGGAGTAATCAAGAGTCAAAAGTAACATGTTGAAGACAGCATTCAATGAACTCACCCGTTTAGGAGCCACTGCTTTAGACACAAAGTGATATTTGTGCATAGCTCGTACCCACTGGCAGATGGACGTACACGCCTTAGACACCTGAAGGTGAGATAGAATCAAAGCCAATCAACCACTTTATTGTCATTAGTGGTTTTTGGAGCCCTAATGTTCGAAGAAATATTAAAGTGTGTATGATATTTCTATTAACGAAAAGCAAAGGTGCTAGTAGTTGAATCTGTAAGGAAAGATGTAACAAACACCACAACATTAAAAAGAAAACACGCACATGCACACTCATATGAACACGCACACACGCGCGCGCACACATAGACACGAAAACTTCTTTTTCGCGTGATGGCCAAAGCTGCGAGGAAGGCCTGAAAATGTATTCAGTATAATTATACTTAAATAATGAGTTAAACTGCTTTGAAGGTTTACCTTCGCGATGTTAGCAGGCTGGAAATCTTCGTTGTCAATATACGGTTGTATTTTCTGAATCACTGGATCGGGTATGTTGTCCTGGTGAATTTAAAATGAAAGAATAGTGTTATACATCTCATGAGCTTAAACATATCCAGTTTGAAATCAAAGGTAATCCTTACAATATTATTGTCTCGAAGCAATGCGATTTAAACTAGAATCGCAATATCACCATTCCCACTCAATGGGAAAGAAACACTAAAATCATACAACCAATCGCACTCAATCATACTCATCTTATCTGCTGAAGGATACATGAAATAATAGCACCGTACTTAGACCATACATGGTACGATTTCAAAATGAGTCTAACAAAGAGGAAATTGAACTTTGCGTCGTTCAGTTTTGATCTCAAGCCATACTTGTGAATTCGGATAGAACTGCACTCCACTTAAATCAACCTAAATCGTGAAAAATATTTCAAGTTGGCGATATGTAGGTAAGTATTCTTTACCTTGTCAAACTTGAAAAGACCTTCAAGAAATTTCCCAGGGTCTTGAAGTAAAGCTTTACCAGGCTCCCAGTAGTCATCAACTTTTGTTCCAACCTGCACAATACAAAGATGACAAATAACCAAATTATTACAACGTATAAAAGAAGAACCACGGTGGTCAATCATGATACATGATCTATGAATTCAACCAAGCAGGAAACAAACTGACGAGCAAACAATAAATCAACCAGTAAAATATTTTGCAACCTTCTTTACTGAGAATAAGCTGGCTTTACAATCAGTTCCTTTAAATTCTTTAAAAAAATCAAACAGAATCAACACCTAAATATAACTCTAAGCAGACGCTGAAAAGTTCAATTTTTTTTCCTTTCTCGCTTCCCGAAAACGTCACGTTTCAACTCTCTACTGTATTGCGTCACGATGCGTTCCATTAAACTGCGTTAGGGTATGTTTCGTAATTTCACTATGCGTGGCTAAGTTGCTCGATAGTATTTACCTTTTCTCCTGCAATCTTCTTGGGTTTGACACCTTTCATTATACTGACAGCTTCAATCACAAGCTTTACACCTGGAGGAGGACGCTGAAGAGCACGAACCTGTCAGAAAGCAACAAGGAAACAAATGTTCAACACCTGCTCAGGAAACCAAACCTTAAAGGAGAAAATAAGTAAAGTTTCTCAGCTCGTCTCCTACCTCCACGACATCAGTTTTGTTCAAAGATTTTAGACTCGTCAGGGCTGCTTCCTGTAAAGAAAGAATGAACCACTTAGAATCTTAATTCCTAGCTTATTTAACAGATACCCCAGAGACTCACCAGGTCTCTAGCTACCTGAAACTCTAAGATTTGAATCTGAAGAATGTGCTGTACAGTTCTCGTACCAGTGCTGGCAGGGCCTCGTCCAAGTCTCTCTGGGCGTCATCAGCGATGGCCTGGGTCTCTGCAGCTTTCTTAGCGGCTTCCTCTTCTTCTCGTTGTACAATAACTTTTGTCTCGTTAGCAACAACCTGTTGACAAGAGAAAAATATCATCGTTTTTAATGCATAGCACCAACTGATGTCACAAGATGGAAATGAGCTTGAATAGGTACGGTACACCGTGGCCTTTTAGGCGTTATCCGCATCATAAAAGAATATGAGAGAGCCTCAGTGTTAAAACCTAAACGAAGTTTATAGAATAAAATCTGAAAAAGGAAAACATCCGCTAACTCAACGATATGGTAGGAAACAGAGTCCACTGGCGCAGCATTGTGGATGTTCTTTGCTTCCGTAAAGCTGAATGAATGAATATCATGATAGCACGGAAACGTCGTGGCATTGGTTCTTAAGGAATACCGAAAACTATTTCAAATATTCTAGCATACGAATACGTAGTAATAATAATGATGATAATAGTAATAATAATAATAATAATAATAATAATAATAATAATAATAACTAATAATAATAATAATAATAACTGCTGCCAAGGAAAGGGATGTTGAGGAACTGAAAGCAGAGGGATGGCAAGGACGTTTGTTCACTGAGAGATGGGAGGATTAAGAAGTTGGAGATGAATGCTTTTCTTGGATGAGCGAGTGGAAGACTGCGCCGACTCACACCATAGCAGGACTGCGGGAACTATACCAGAAACTCCTACCAACGAAAGTCTACCACCAGGAAAAGACAGGGACTCACAAGAGTGAGGATGTGAAGTGCCGCATGTGTGGTAAGGCCGCTGAAACGCAAGCGCACGTGCTAGCAGGTTGTGGAGTGCTAGCCCAGTCTAAATACATGATTCGGCATAATGCAGCACTTAAGATAATTTTCTACGAACTCTTGAAAGACCTAGACTTAGTGACAACAGTACCACTGTGGTACTCTCAGAACATGCCAAAGCCACTTTACGAGAACAAGAGAGGAAAGGCACTCTGGGACATACCACGATATGCAGAACACGCGGAGGTGAGAAACAACAGGATAGACTGTACGGTTATAGACAAGGAGAGGAAGAAAGTAGTGTTACTTGAAATGAGCTGTCCATGGGTCTGTAACTGAGAGATCAAATGTGCAGAGAAGACGAACAAGTACGCCCCGCTGCGGTACGAATTAACAAGGAGATACCCAGAGTACAAGATTGAGCAGCATAACATTATTATAGACGGTGTTATATTACGGTGTATATTACGTATATTACGGTGGCCAATTTACCATTTCAACTTTTGTTGATATATCCAAATTATTTCGTTACTCCCACCGACGCAGCCCCAAACAGTTTCTTTCGAAACTATCAGCCTTTATTCATTATTATAGACGCACTTGGAGGGAGCTTGCGAAGGGTCAAGGAAAGCACACGCCAATTGGTTGGAAGTGGCCGATGTCACTTAGTGCTAAGGAACATGCAGAAAGCTGTAGTCTCTATCTCCCTTAATATCGCCAGGACTTTCAAGGTCCTATAGACTAAATTCTTAAGTTCCTAAGACCTTTATTATCGGAGTTCTTCCATAGAGTGAGCTTTGAAACCGACAGCCTTGAGCTCTCCTTTACTTCAATTTTAGGTTTAGGTTTTAAACATTTATCTCCATTTTAGGGTCTATGGGTATACCACTTTAGGTTTTAGGTCTTAGGTTTATTTGTGTCTGGACTTTTAAGGTCCTATCGGACTAAGTTCTTTAAACGACGTTAGGTTCAAATAGTTTTAATAGGTTGATGGAACATTTATTTCCTTTCAGGGCTTAGGGGCACAATTTTTTAAAGTTTAGCTTTATCTATGTAGTAGTGACAATCGAATAGGTTACGCCTTTGGCGCCCTATATCAATTTTAGTTGTAATCTGAAGCATTCAGAAGTGTATACTGCGAGATAATAATAATAATAATAATAATAATAATAATAATAATAGTAGTAATAACAATAATAATAATAAGGGGACAATAAGGGGGATGATCTACAACATGCACGGTTTTCATTACCGAGTCCACTTTGATCTTCTCCATTGTCTCTACAGTTTCTTCAGCTGCCTGAGCCAACAACGGCTGCATGGTCTCTAATTCTTCCTGTAGCTTCTCCACTTCATCAGCTGTACNGGGTCAACATATACCACAATCTCTACTCGTTACCTGGTGGGAGTAACATAGTTGTGGCGGGTCAACATATACCACAATCTCTACTCGTTACCTGGTGGGAGTAACATAGTTGTGGCGGGTCAACATATACCACAATCTCTACTCGTTACCTGGTGGGAGTAACATAGTTGTGGCGGGTCAACATATACCACAATCTCTACTCGTTACCTGGTGGGAGTAACATAGTTGTGGCGGGTCAACATATACCACAATCTCTACTCGTTACCTGGTGGGAGTAACATAGTTGTGGCGGGTCAACATATACCACAATCTCTACTCGTTACCTGGTGGGAGTAACATAGTTGTGGCGGGTCAACATATACCACAATCTCTACTCGTTACCTGGTGGGAGTAACATAGTTGTGGCGGGTCAACATATACCACAATCTCTACTCGTTACCTGGTGGGAGTAACATAGTTGTGGCGGGTCAACATATACCACAATCTCTACTCGTTACCTGGTGGGAGTAACATAGTTGTGGCGGGTCAACATATACCACAATCTCTACTCGTTACCTGGTGGGAGTAACATAGTTGTGGCGGGTCAACATATACCACAATCTCTACTCGTTACCTGGTGGGAGTAACATAGTTGTGGCGGGTCAACATATACCACAATCTCTACTCGTTACCTGGTGGGAGTAACATAGTTGTGGCGGGTCAACATATACCACAATCTCTACTCGTTACCTGGTGGGAGTAACATAGTTGTGGCGGGTCAACATATACCACAATCTCTACTCGTTACCTGGTGGGAGTAACATAGTTGTGGCGGGTCAACATATACCACAATCTCTACTCGTTACCTGGTGGGAGTAACATAGTTGTGGCGGGTCAACATATACCACAATCTCTACTCGTTACCTGGTGGGAGTAACATAGTTGTGGCGGGTCAACATATACCACAATCTCTACTCGTTACCTGGTGGGAGTAACATAGTTGTGGCGGGTCAACATATACCACAATCTCTACTCGTTACCTGGTGGGAGTAACATAGTTGTGGCGGGTCAACATATACCACAATCTCTACTCGTTACCTGGTGGGAGTAACATAGTTGTGGCGGGTCAACATATACCACAATCTCTACTCGTTACCTGGTGGGAGTAACATAGTTGTGGCGGGACAACTCAGCCAGGTATTGCTTTGACTTTTGAGCCACTGTCTGATGAATAACTCCACATATTGACACCTGTCAGTCAACAAATAGTTGAAAAGAAGACTGTTAGAGATCCATAGTGATTCTGTAAACTGAAGTTACATGTTGCTGGAGCTTGATTCTCTTAAGTTAGAAGACACATATCAGTTGTATCTCTGAAATGACGGTGCTTATCGCCAAACAGACACCAAAAGCTATGTAAATGCAAAACCTGTTAAAAGGACACATCGTCGTGTTGTATGATTGACCGATCTCACGAGTATCAAAAAATTGTACAAATTCTGCGTCTGTTCTTTTTTCAGACACTAAGTCACTCTATTTCGATGGCCGAGTCAGCTAATATTAAAATGAGACTTTTAAGTCATGTAATTAAAATCAGGGCATACCAAGCCTTCCATTGCCGAAGATTCATCCAGTTCGGGAATTTCTCCGAGGAAGGTCGACGCCACGGATCGTAAGGCCTCCTTCGGCCAAGCGGAGAACCAATCAATGGTACAGCAGTTGACCAAAGACGGAAATTGGCGAAGACGTGCTCGGAATATTTCACCAATTGGGCTACAAGAGATACATATATCTTATTAGACGTTCTGTTGTGTAGTATCGCTGAGTATTTTTACGAGTTGCACCGTATTTTGACGAGCCCGTAGGGCGAGTTAAAATACAAACAACGAGTAAAAATACTCGCGATACTACACAACTAAACGTCTAATAAGAGATTTATTATCCAACACGCCAAATTGTTATTTCAGTGCGGGTGAATTTCGCGGAAATTTCCGGAGTACAAATATTGCGTGATACTTGTACTCGTCTTACGCGTTATTTGTACTCTACGAAGAACATTTGAACAATAAAGGTTGATATGAAAACATTTATTTCTTGACGAGGGTATGACGCCTTAAAAATGGCTCGTAATGGTATAAAGGTTGGGCCTCTCAGCAGACATGGATAACAACAGAGAAAAGGTATTCTTTAAATCATACCGATCCGGTACAGAAATATGTTGGATATGCTAGCTTCAACTTCGCCTTCTGGGAGTCCGTTTTCGAGAGGTAAAGACCAAAAAAAAAGTTGAATAAGTGATGGTCAGTGCCAATTCTATGTGAGCAAAACGTACCGGAATTATCGTTCCGCGGTTTGACGAGGGTTGTGGAAAATATATTACATCAATATTGGTATTGAGGGGTGTCTTTTAAGAAGATAAAAACCGTGATGTATGGGTAGAAAAGTCAGGAAAAACCTCAAGTTTGAAAAATATTCAAACCACCAAGAACTTTACTTCACCCATGAATCCCCCAGAGAGAAACTCTAACTAGAGATGAACCAATAATAATGGAAGTTACAAACAACAACAGCCTACAGACCTCATACAGACAACAGTGTGTGTATTGGCTCGCACTCGTTTGGTGAAAGCTGAGTATAGATTGGCTTTAGTGGGCTGAAGACCCTGATCAAGAACGACCGGCTTCATAGCTGTGAAGATCGTGTCCAGCTCATCTTGTGCGAAGATATTAGGTACATCACCAGCATTTAGCACGTTGTTAAGATCTTCTAAAAAACTTTCGCTCTTAATCTGTGTATATTGAAAATGAAGTTGATGACTATGACCTGATTTTTCTGATTGTTCAAACAAAGTTTAGCCGTTGTTTGATAGAACCGCGTCCTAAACAATCCCCAATTTCACTAAACCTTTCATCTGAACATTTCTTTTCGTAAATAGCGTCAAGAGGGTCGAAAGCTAATAGCGGTAGAACAATCATTTAAATCAACTCTCTTATAAAGAAACCCCGAGGCCCACTGATTGCGTAAAACTGTGGTTTAGGTTAAACCCCGTAAAAATAACCGTCCCTGTGTTTTTACTCCATGTTTCCGCAGCTGACTATTCTGGTTTTTTTCTGTTGTGACCTAGTTTGAAGGAAAGGTACAATAGAGTGCTTTTCATTTGAGTGTCGTAAATCCAAACCAAAGCAATCATAACGACCAATCAGAGGAAAGGGAAAAATCTTTAAGAGTCAGTAAAAACTCAAGTAAAACTGAACAAACTGACAAAGCGCGGGAAACGCGAGAGTGCAAGCCGTGATTGGTTTTAGCTTGTGCATCTGATTGGATGAGAAAGTGGCACAAGTCACAAGTTGTCTGGACCAATCGCAGGGCAAAGTAAAGCATACTGGGATTTTGACACTCAATTCAAAATTGTTCTATCGCGTAAATTTCGATTGGAACATTCACTATCACACCGCACGCAAAACGCATAATTTTTTTGCAACCCTCAAGACTAAGGTTAGAGTGTTTGTTACCCGTCTCAACTAATTTCCCATACCTGTGTGTCACTGAAAAGAAACACCATCGATTTGTTCTCTACACCTGATTTCAGCAGCACCTTTTTTAGGTCTTCCCGCCATTCAGGAACACCATAATTTTTCGCTAACTCAATCTGGAAACACTCGTATTCAGCCCTGAATAAAAAACAGCCAGCACGTGAGACCGTTAAGTTAAAATATATAGTTAGTGAGAGAGACAATCTAATCATTGTCATAAAAATCAAAAGGGGGGGTAACTGTTTGTGACAATTTTGAGTTGTCACATTACTGTACATAATTAACGTTATCAACCTACAAAGCATTATAATTCAGTAGCGTTACAACCTACAAATGGGAGAAGAAATAAAAATAACGCTCACTATCACGCATGTGTAAGAGCTAAGATCTAATATTTGGCCTGCATAAAAGGCTCTGTCGCATCGCATTCCTAGCCAACTTGATAAATTTTAAGACCTGTGGCCGATCTCGCTGATACCAATTAATTCACACTACCAAAAACCACTCTTCTTTGTCTTTTGGATTAAACTCAAGTTCATAATAACTCACATGTGGGCCGCGAGCCTTGTCAGACTCTGACGTCCGCTACCTCCCACACCCAGAAGTAGAGCGTTACCCAGCGGCTGGCGAATCACACGGCTGATTCGTGACACGTGACGAACAGCGTCAGTAAAGAGCACCAACTTCATCTGCGCCGTGTTTATCTGATTGTAGTCATCAAGGTACTCTTCCATTATTTTCACCATCTGTCAAAGTAAGCATGGAGAATGAGAGGAAACATGACAATGAGAAAAAAAAAAAGATTAGCAAGAGGCAAAATAGAAGATAATATGGGAAGTGGTAGATTTTGAGTTCGGTGGCGAATTTCTGAGGTTCGATTCCTCGTGGGTGCTCAGAATGTCGTCTTTGTCCCAAGCTCTAAAATAGTACAACTTTAAACTACAATTAACTACAGCCAAATGATCGAAGCATAAAACTTGACAAATCCAACTAACCTTCCCGTGGATTGGATTCCGTTTGTCTCTGCGAGCGGACTCGATAAATGACTGATTGACTGACTGTCTGACTGATGTTAACTGACAGACACACACACACACACACACACACACACACACACACACACATACACTGACTGACTGAGCCTAATTGCTTTTAAAAAAAAACCGACTTATTAACTTCCTAACGCAATGAATACCCGGCCGACTAATGGAATACTTTCCTAACAGGATGATGCACATCCGGAATGATCTAAGTAATAGCTGAAGACCTGAGAGAATCAGAAACCTTCTGTCCGTCTCAAAAGCCAACCAACTAACTTACCCAGTATCTACCAAATGAGAGTGAGAGATAACTCTAATCCGTAAACCACAGGATATTGACCCACTGATAGCTAATCGATATCTACTTGTTGTCATCATACGATTACAGCCCTTTTAAGTACTTGATAAAACACTTTCCACCCGTAACTTGCCTTTTCAAAACTGGCAACTTCAGCATAAATTTTATTCTCAGCACTGGGCACCATAAAATCGCCATAAATCATGGTGGAATCTTTGACAACATCATTCAAGGACGACTCAAACCCAGACGCCATCTTGTCTCGAATCAGATCCACGAACCACTTCCTGTCCTCATCATTTACCAGTCGATCTTGGAACACTCGGCAGTTCTCATGGTACCACAGCCGCAGCACAGCTTCTTTGTTCTCAAGTTTCTCCGATTGAGCCATGAGGATTCCTTGGAAAACTTTTGACAAGTCACGCAGGTTAAAGGTGTAGTGGCTCTTGGCTGGAGTGGGCAGTAGCTGGAAAGTGAACGAGCAAAAGTGGGTATGACTTGCTCTTAGCATGAGTGTTTGAAAACAAAACCAAAGAAATAAGAAAAAAGGAAAGTACTCCAATGAGCTGACGAAAACTCATGCAAACAACCACCAGTGCTCAAAAACGCGAGTAAACATGTCACAAGTGGTTTTAGTTTTCAGCTGTTTGCAACTTTTGCAACTTACAGGGATAAAAGCGCAGTGCGAGTTTTCAGGGCCAATCAGAGAGCGAATCAAAACAGTAACGCAATACCGTTATATGCTCTAATAAATTGATTAGTAAGTTTGGTTTGAAGCCACATCAATAATTAAGAAGTCATAGTACCTGTGTGATAACAGTGTTATAAACGGCGATGGTGTTCCGTACCAAACCTTCACAGAGTGTCTCTTTGTCCTCACCTGCGTATGAAGCTAAAAGCACCACAGGCCAAGTGAATGTCGAGTAGAAATGTCTTGTATCAAATACAAATAACGAACTTCTCGGTACGTAAGCGTACAAAAAGGACTCAGACCTTGCAGAACAGTTTGTGGTTAACGAGCTCAGTGCTTTCAAAACAATATTCTACGCCACAGAACAGTGCATATCTAAGTCTGTTCTATAATCTAGAATACATTGTTGCGCAATTTTTTCCTGACCGAAACCTTCTATCACCATTCTCCACCCGTGCTAAGTGTTCTCCTTGCATTGCATACTTCTGATCTTCAAGTTGATAAGAATACCATTGTTTCTGCATGAATTTTTAAAATTAAATTTACAGTTTTTTTACAGTCACTCATAAGCTCTCACAAACGTCCTAGCATTCCTGGCTGTTATAACAATACTTGCTCTTTCCTCTACACTATTCTAACCTGCCAGATCTTTGTTTCTTTCTGTAAAACAAATAAAACTTTATTAACGCGGCTACTTCAATAGACAGTCCCTCATTTCTGATCCGAGAACCTGTAAGTGCTTTGTTCGCTTTCTTAGTAGCGACCGTGTGATGTATCTTGATAACGAAGGTAGATCCAAAAGAGTTTTTAACTACTCTAAATTGGCCGCAAAAATCATAAACACTTATAACTTTGTCTTCTTCCACCTAACCAATCAGTAACCTATCTTCTCTACGAAAAGATAACTATTCTCTCCGTTTAACTCTAGGCATAATGTTGTTGTTCGGGGTAAATATGCAGCATGGGGGTTAGACATTTACGGTTGAAGTAAGTTAAAGGTAAAAGGTAAAGGTAAAGGTCTCTATTTCTCTAAACAACATACGCGTTTAGTTACAATTTTTTTTTTAAGGTTGAAATCAGACAGGCGCCTCTGGCAGCCGTGTTTAGTCCGTAGCGATTTCACCTAACCAACTCAACCCACCCCAGGGAGGACATCCATCACACAGTAATCTTGTGCGTGGGAAATTAACGTCTCCTACCCCAACCCTGCAGGAGACGGGACCTCCATTTATTCGTCRCTATCCGAGAAGACTAGAATATCTAACCATTTCTTGATGTTAAAGAAAGGAAGCATATTCTTCTCAATTAATTTTAAGACCCTGAGTGTTGGTCCGGCCGGTATTGAACTCTCAACCTCCCGCACAGCAGTCCGGCGCTCTCCCAATTGAGCTAACCAGGCGGCAGTTAGCTCAAGTTACACTCCCAACATACAGGATGTCGACAATTTTCGAAAGAAGTAAGAATTAAATATTAGCAGCTAGTTAACAGCTAAATTGAGGTCTACCTCGCTGAAAGTCGGGTAAGCTAGTAAGCCTTCAACTACTGTAATATTACAATTAGGTAAGAGCTCGCAGGCCCTCAATTGAGTGCAGGCAACATGACAGACAACCAGACTGATAACCTTCCTATTAGAGAAGAGGCTTCACTTCAAACTCCTTACCTATCCAGGACTTCAGAATTGTAGCGAAAATTCTCTGTTTACTCTCATCTTCCAGCTCAGTGAACGACAAATGATTGAAGTGTCTGAGGAATCGGGGTGTGACGGGATTCCTACCACCTCCTGGGGGTCCCATTGCCGCTATAAAGTTTATATCGACCAGTTCACGGAAAGTTCCTAAATCAAGTAAAGACACACCATCAATTCACGTCCATCCTAGGTTGCTTCCCAGAGATTTTACTTTGGATACTTATGCGTATAACTGAAAAAGTTACGAAAATAGCAGTGGCGGATCTAAGGAGGGCCCCTCCTACTTCAGGTAAGAAAAATAAACGCAGAAGGAAGAAAAGCCGGCAGGCGCACGAACACAAATAAAACCGCCCCCCTCCCCCGCACCCTTACTCAAGGTGCGAGCTTCTGCAACATTCACGGATGCTTTTAGACATAAAGTCACTTGGATTTCTTTGAACGATTTGTTTGTCCAGAACAAAATAAGTAAGCTTCATTTTAGGTGACACTAAACTAGTGAAATGATATTTTAAAAGATAAGAAACCATTAAAAGGCAATAGGGACTATAGCAACGTACCGATGGCTTTCCTGTCGTACCAGCCCTTATGATCGCAGTATTGACGCAGGATTTCCACCGGAGGCTGGGCTCCATACACTTCCAGGGCAGGCATGTTAAGATCGTCGACAAAAAACACGAAGTGTTTCCCCAATGGAGGGCCAAATACACCTTTACGTCTGAAAAAAAGTGCATGAAATTTGAATACAAAAGGTAAATGTAGTGTTAGACTACCTTTTACAAAGTTTGAAGAGAATGGGACAGGTAAACACAGAAACACAAGTGGATTTCAGCCTGCAAATTCAGACTTTCTACTGTCCCTTCACCCTACAGTGAACAATCTGTCAACGATCAACCTGAACTGGCAGGTTAGTAACATAGTCTCTTGACAAAAATACGACACTGATAGAAACCACTTAACACAACAATACAAGTTTGACGAACTAGAGTTGAAAATCATCAAAAGGAAACGGACATTTAAGCAAGGGATGATAGCACGTGAAAAAAAAAAAAAACGGTAAAGGATGTCAGATTCAACGAAGCAATTCTAACGTTTTAACCTCTTTTTATCAGTACCAAAAACTCGGGTATTTCTAATGACATAGCAACTGAACGAACAATCTTACCTCTTGTCTAGTTTGCTGTCTATAATGTCTTGTGTTTGATTAGCTGATGTTCGAGCAGAAAAATTCAAGAAATGCGACAGGAACTCTTTAGGCATATCATTCAAAAGTTTGTTCGCTATACAAAGAGTTTTGCCGGAGCCAGTTGGTCCAACACTCATCACCTGCGGATGCAAAGAAGTTATCAAACTCGTGGTAATTTCTCTTAAACCTTTTACTCTCTAAAGTGATGTAACTTCTCACCATAACTTCTCACTATAATGTAATCACATGTAACTTCTCATTATAATATCCATACATTCATAATCGAACAGGTTTTGAGAATACTCAAACTTATCAAGTACAAGTTGTTATCTTAATCAAACACCAAATTCGCGTAACTTATTTACCAGAAGATGTGTTACTGCCAGAGGGGAGAATTTACTATCAAATCTAGGGTGTTAAAAGGTTAAGAGACTAACGTCTATAGCCAGTAACAAATGAGAGATAATTTCATCTTAACATCACTTGTTGTCAGCCAAAAGAATTGAACCATACTGTTTCTGTTGTAGCATTGATGTTTTTGTCGTAGCTGTTTTCTCTCTTTTAAGATGTTCGATTGAGTCTCAAATACCATTGAATTAGTATCTGTATTTAAAGAGATCAAGACAACAAAGCAGCCTTCAGTTGAATTGGACCCAAGACGATTCGGATTGGATGAGCAGTGTTTTGTGTTGTTTCCACATTTCGAGACACACACTAATGAAGACAATACCCTCCTCGTTATAAGATGGGCTTCTCTCATCAACTGTTTGCTCGTTTAATAGACAATGTGTACTATTCCTCTCTTTATTCTCCCGTTATAGTCGCATGAATAAATAACATTACCTTCTTGTTGTTTGTTAACAGCGTTTCTAGCAGAAATGAACCTCTGACTAAGTCCATGGTGGGTATGATGATATCGGAGAAGTTCATCTCCGGTGGAATGTCAGGCATAGATACGTTAGCCATCCAGTTAACCCACTTCACCTATAACACAAAGACATAACGATTTAAAACAAAAAAAAAATTGCTGTTAAAGAAGAGAAGAAAAGTGAGGCGTATGTGTTCAGGAAACTCGCGAAGATTGAATCACAAAACGAAAATCAAAATTTTTTTAAGTGAAAATATCTGCTCTTTATGAAAAATCGAAAAAAAGAAAAAACATAATACAGTACTTCCTTACGATTTTCGCTACCCGAAGTTATTCAGTTCTCGGAGAAAAACATTTTTTTAAACGTGAACAGCCCCAGAGGGCAGGTACCCGACTGAGAGGATTTCTCACGTTGTACATCATGAGAATGGTTTTTAGCACTTTCATCCTCTCCACCCCTCCACTACTGAAAACCTGCCTAAAACACCCCTCACCTCCCCTGTATGTTCATCCTCGTCGTCATCATCCTTTCCGCGCTTTCGACTGACTCCACCATCCTCCAGTGCGTAATCGTATACCAGACCGTCACTTGGAAACATCATAGAAATCTGGAATTGTAAGAGGTAGACTTTGCTAAAGTTACTTTATTCCACCCATGACGGATGACGCTCCCTCTGACTTTTTGTACACTGATGTGATTCACTGAGTTTCAAGAGTGCGATGTAAGGTTTGTGAAAAGAGAATCGAGCGATGGCCTACTGGATCTTTTCTCGGAAAAAAATATTTAAATAGAACGCAAGTTATATATTGCCGGCAGAGACCAAACGATTTCGAAAGATGACGGATTTGAGAGCAAATGAAAGGCAAAAACTGGTCTGAAATTTTGTTAAAAGACCATAGTTCTTAATTCAACCCATAAATCCAGAGTGTAAAAGAAGACGACATGTTAAATAAACGATCATTTATTCTGTGAAATACATGAATTTTATTTGAAATCACCTTCTCGTCATCCATTTTCTTCCTTAGATATTCACTGAATTTCTTTCTTCCGTCCCCGTCACATGTTCCTCCAACGGACCAGATGAGGGAGAAGATAAACCAGGGTTCAATCAGGGATTCAGCCAAAGCGATGTGTTCTGAACGAATCGTCTCCCCCTGATAAGACAAAATTAAATGTTTTTATTAATTCTATTGGAAATACGTATTTCCTAATATATATAGCAAAAGCTGACACTGACTTGGCAGAAAATTAAAATCAACGTCTGAGATCGTGAAGTACAACGTATCGCTGGCGTTTTGTTAACAATCTGGTAGAACTTGCTTCAATCTGTATTCTGCTTATCTTACCTCTTTAGGCACAAATGGAGCAAAGAAGCAATCCAGAATGCGCATCAGGCTGGATGTCAGGTTACTATTGACAGTCGGTACAAACTCTTTCGTGTTACTCCTCATAAACTTGAGAGAATCCTAGAAATGATTCATATACAATGCTCAAGCATCAAGATATTGGCGATGATACAGACTTTATATTAATTTCACGTGTAAAAAAAAGACTTACAATGACAGAAATTAGCCAAAAAACTAACAGAGTAAACGTACTTTTCAACACAAAGATGAGGCATTTTCAATTCATTTAATATGATTCAGCTTTTCTCAAGAACTGACCTCATTAAATTGCCAGTGATCGTGGGAAGAACTCTTACCTCTAAGAATTTATCAAAGAGTGACTGTAACTTGTCCTTATGATCAAAGATACCGTCTGGCAACGTTTTCAAGTAACAGTTCACGAAAGGCTTAAGGCCCAAGATGCTGGGCTCTAAGTACACCATACCACAGCGGCTAACAGTAGCTGGGGAGGCAACGGCAAGGTCCTGGACTTCGAACATCATCGTCATTGCCTACGAAAAGAACCGAATTCCGAATTGTTTCCTTAGTTAACTTCCTAAGGTGACTAACGGGTAACTTCTCCACACGGTTAGAGAGTGTTCCTTTGCTATAACAGCAAATTCTTCTAATTAATTCATAAGTAAATGAAAAGGAGCTTAAAAGGCGAATCACCCTTCATATCACTGGAGATCAGCTGGGCTAAATCGCGAAAATCACCGACTTGCAAAGCATCTCCGACGACGTGAGATCTTTTCAGTGATGAGGATCTCGAAGATTTAAAACTAGAGATCTAGGCTTACCTCAGTTAATTTGATGATCTCTCCACTTGTAAGACAAAGTTTCTTGTTATCATCAAGCACGGTGTTCATGTTTTCAATCCACACGGCGTCTACGGGCCCGTCAAACAAGTACCATTTCTTGTCACTAGTTGTGCTTGAGCTGCCAACCCGTATCATAGAAGACAAGATACCATCGGTCCTAAACGTTCAAAAGAAACTAACAGATATCATAGGAGATAAAAATTCATACCAGCGCATGCGCATGCCAATTCACGGTAGCGATAAACGTTTTATCAATGTATCTGTCACCCATATTTAGTAGGAGGTACAGACAAAAGTCTGCAGTTATGATAGGAAAAAAAAACTGTCAAGTTTCATTCACTTACCATTCATGAGTCAACAAGTCAAACTCTCCGTAGAGCTGTCCCATTGTTATGGATTTGGGATTCAGCACAAACGTGTGGACCTCTTCATACGGAGTCCCTGCTGGTGAATCTTTACCTTTCAGTGACGTCAAAGCTTTCTTGAGCACTTCGTAACACTACAGAAACCATTAAAACGAGCAACCATGAGTATATATTTTGGTTATTGAAAGATGAGTTTCTGAACTTTTTTTTGTTCATATAGTTCGAAAAACTTGAACAATACTACAATAATCATTTTCACGATTTTGTCCTTCTCCACGCAACACGACTGCTTACCATACCAAGAAATTATTTGTCGATTGTATGAGTATTTGGTTCCAATTTACAAGTTTATTCGCTCAAAATTAACACGACACATTCTAAAGGAATTGCTGAAGCATCTCAACCAAGCTAAAACATGCAGTCCCAGCTTGAATGAATAAGACGTACGAGTAAAGCAGGACATTCAGAATCTTTATTCACGTAAGAAGACAACAAAGATTACTAGGCGCCGCCAACTCACTCTTGTTTTCCCTGATCCAGTAGGACCCACCAACATGAGCCCATGTCTGACTACTGTTGTCTCGTACAGCTGGATACACTTGGTCACAAATCCATCTACATCTTCAAGTCCCATTTTCAGGCAGGTCTTACGGATGGAATCTTCCAGGTCACCGTAATCAATAGGTTGTTCTCTGTGGACAGACGTTTGATAAATATTCGCATTCACCACCCAGATCAGTGATAACTTCTTCACAGCTTCTAGAGCTGCTTCCTAAAGCCTTTAAACATGCAACGTCTGGGCTCACTCATAATTTTCGCGCAATTCTTTCACGCTGATCAAGCTAAATGGTATCACTCCTGATATTCTAGTTTTCAATTTCCTAATCACTTTTAGTCTATTACTTACTTGACTTTAGGGAACAGGTCAGAAACTATTCCACGGAATAGTTTCAAGTCATCTTGCAAAAACTTCGGCACATTTACATCTCGTATGGCACGCAGTACAATAAGTTCCTGATAGGAGATAGCAACCAAAGAACATGATCAAAACATAAACTTTCTGCAAAAACTGCTCACTGAGACACTTTGAGAGCGAGGAGAGAAAATGTAGTTGAACCACGTCAAATTTCACCTCGCTCATCTCTGGATTTTCTCTCTTCAGGTTTCCAGCAGCCGATATGACAGTCTTCACAGCTCGCATACCAAAGTCGTAGTGATCCTAGAGAAAGAAAGGGAGAAGTTGTTTGACTGAATGTCCCAAGGAACAGCTGTACCGCTTGATAATACTTTACTCGAACTCCGAACAAAGTACATTTTACTCTTGCCTTTAAATTTGATATAAAAACTGCACTAAGTGGGAAATTTCATTATTATCCTTTCAGTCTGTACAAACGAGGGACTTGCAACTACATTGGTTAATCTATCAGTCTGGCTTTGGAAAATTAGATTTCCAAACTGACTCGGGAATTAGCTATCATGCTATTTCATCACGGGTTTATACAACAATTCATTTTCTAAACAAAACCTGAGAACTGAGTTGTTCTGATGACAACTTGAACGTGGTGGTAATTTTTTTCGCTAGAGCTTTAGCTTCAGAAAAACCAAATGAGAAGAGACTGATCTCGGCGATCAGCGCGTAATCTGGAACCATCATGGCCACAGGACGGAATAAAGCCTGAGAAATAAGAAAAAGAAAAAAAAAGGCAAACTTACACAATGCATACATGGAATGAATTTTATTACATGGTTCTCTAATAAGTTCTTCACTTCGTCGCAAAAGCGAAGAGACTTTAGGTTGACCGTTAATCATAAAATTCATACAATTAAAAATCAAAGCTACCCTACGGTAAGCTGGAAAACCATAAAACACATTACCTAAATCTAGTCACTTCATTGTTACCTACATTTCTTATCTCGTTAAGGTTTGTTCGCGAAAATTTTCAAATTTGTATCTGAAATGTGGCTCTCTAAAGTTAAAAAATCAATCCAAAGGACATATTCTGTTACCGAACTGTCATCTTCAGTAGAGAAAACAGTACTATTCTACCTGCCGATCTCCGTGTTTGGTTGACAACCGTACCTTCAAATTATCCGGAAGTTCTGTTCTTCCAGCATATCCAGGATTCATTGTAATGAACACAGCACATGAGGGTTTCAGTGCCAGCTCAACTCCTTCAAACATGAAGCGTTCAGCCTACAAGTATACATCAGATAGCACCAAAATCTTTCATAGACCTTTAAACAAACTAAAGGAGATTAAACTCGCAAGAGAAAGGTGCTTCTCAAAAAAAAAGAATTAGCCAAAATTAACCCAAAATTTCAACTTCAGTTTGCAGAGAAAGCCACCAATGAATGGCGTAAATTCCACAGTTAAAATGTCATTTGAGTATGTACAAATGTAACTGATTTTGACATGACTGGGCGTTCAAACTGTGGTGTACCGACCCTCGCTTCCAAAGCTTGTTGGATGGTGGAAATCTGTTGTGCTACCACAGACAATACTTCTACGTCTATACGATTAAACTCATCAAAGCAGGCCCAAGCACCGGCGCTGTATATGAAAAAAAAAAAATGTATGAAGAATCTTTGAATTATGACATCGGCAGGTAGAATCATACATTTGCACAAATACAGTCAGTGTTCATTCTAGAACACGACTGCTCCATCCTCAATGAAAAAAAACTCAGAAAGAAAGGGCAGACTTTCTCCGATCCCTGATTAAAACTTCAACAAGTAGCACATTTATAATTCACGACTATTCTCAACCCTTCTATTTAGCCAGGAAATTCAACAAAACCAATCAATGACAACTATAAATTTCAAGGAAAAGCTTTGTACCTGGCTAAACCCTTGAAGAACTTGCCCATGGCCATGAAATCCAGCTGATCAGAACAGTTGAATACAACACACTGAACTGCCATGGCTTTACCTAAGTCCTGTTTCATATAATAAAATAAAGAATCTAGATCAAGTTATAATTGTATGTACTAAACTTGCATTGGAAAGCTCTCTTAGCGACTCGTTTGCCTTGTTCTTAAACAAGAAGCGGGAATACGACCGATAAGTGTAACATTGTTCTAATCAAGAATCATCTAGTACAGTTCTATATTATCCCATATGTCTAAAACCTCCTATTATCTATAAGGAGTGGCTTTATGCTAATAAAAAAAACTGCCGTAAATTTGTCCCATATATCTCTAGTATCTTCTGTCTCACATCGTTACACTGCCATGCACATGACGACACTCTGATTATAAAATTCAGATCATAAGAAACTAAAATCACATTAATGTCAGTGCATACATTAATTTTATTACAAACCTTTGTGGTCTCTGTCTTTCCCGTTCCAGCAGGACCAGCGGGTGCCCCTCCAAATTTCAGATGTAGAGCTCCAGTAAGAGTTAAATAACAGCGATCTGTCAGGGGGGTGATGACCAACCGACCTGTTTTCCCTAGGTACTCGTAGCCATAGTCAAACTGTGCATTGACCGCGCGGATAATCATGTCGTCTTCCCAGTAATACCTAAGGAGTTACGAGCAAACGAGTCTTTGTTAAGAACTACAGGTGCACTATGGCTAACGTAGCTGAAGTATATTTAGATTGCTCGAGTCCGTGAAGTTAGATAAAACTTGTGGTTGGAATCGTTTTAGTCAAAAGATCTGTTTTACGAAGGAAGACTAGGTGGTCTCAAGCGTATTTGTACCTTTCGTCTTACTTAAACCTGTCAGTGGGCTTCAGTTATAGCGCTATAATAAAATGCAAAGAGGTCGAGTCTAATTCAATAACTTCAGGTCACAATGGCCTAGCCGATGAAGCCCACAATACCGGTCCAACTGTCTTTGCATGAATAGCCCTGTCTGTGGACGTTCTTAGATATGTATGGTCATTCGAAATTCACAAAAAAATCAACAAGAAAAAAATAAATTTTAAAAGTTACTGTAGTCAAATTCAGACATGCCTCAACTGGCTGATCCACTCAAAGTCATTTACATTCTTGACTTTCTCCGAGATCATCTTTGCTACCACATCGCAAGCATGCACCTGAAAGGAAACACAATCACAGGCTTATAACATGATGGCGAAGACTACAGCTGTATATGCAGTTAGAATTACATTAGCCGTACATGGCAGTTGTCACCATCATAGCTCAACACCTGGCTTTCAATACGATACATGAACACACCCACACAAAATTAAAGATCTGTTATGAAAAAGTGGTGAAAAACCACTCCAAGTTTTACCTCAATCACGATAAGAGCCCCAAGAATCATCCGTGCAAGCTTACTGAGGTTTCCTCTCACCAGGGTTACGAGATCGTTGAGCTGATGATTGAAAACAAGGACGTTATGATAAGTACAATTGCCTGTAAAATTTTCTAATTAAGTCCGTTGAACAAACCCAGTCCATCGCAGTTACTTGCATGCCAAACGGTTGTTGAGGCCTTTCTTTCTAATTGAAATGTTTTCAATACACCTTTTGAAAAATTCTACTACGTATTCAGCAATAAAATGACGATAGGGATGCTCGGTGTAGAAAGCAACAAATACGGGACTTTTCACAATAATAAGATGATAAGAGGTTTGGATACTTACCTGAGCCATTAAGCCCTTATAAAGTTCGTCTATCTTGTTCTCAATCAATGCTTCTGATACTTCTTTGGTCCAGTGAGTCTGGGCTCCAGCGATAACTACTTGCCCAGGCCACTGTAACACCCACTCGGTCCGAGGAGTCTGTCAAACAACACAAACTTAGAGTCACATAAAATCATAAAACTGAAACGCTTTGTTCGAGGAGTCTGCCACACAACACAAAATAGCGTCACAAAGCATATAAAAACTCCTGCAAACTGAGGCCGTTTTCCGTCACTTATTTTGTTTGCTGGTGGTTGGTTCTTGCGAAATCGATTGATTCCGAGCGATAAATACGAATGTTACAACGAATCAATCGCCCCGCTGCATGCATAATTCTAAATGGCAGTTACCTCTGGATACAGTGTTAAAGCTCTGTGTAAAATTTCTCGCAAACTCCCTCTCATGGTATTCTCCACTTCCAGTAGCCAATCCTCCACATTTCCTGTAGGGTACAGACTGTTGCTGAATGGGACACATTCTCCCTCGCCAGAGAACATGGAAGAAATGCGCAGGTCTTCCTCGAATGAAAGCTACAGAGCACAGGAGAAGAGAATAGTCTGATTAAGTCTGAGAGTTTACTGTTCTATGGTTGTACAGTTGTATGGAAAATATGGTCTGAATTTAAACATTTTGTAAATGTTGAACAAGAATGTAGCTTCTAGGTCAACAAATTAAGTCTACTTTGAGTGCATGCCACGGGTGTTACACAGCAGAAATCACAGAGGGCGCGTATTGCTTTCCCTTACACCTATCAACTTGACAATGAAGGAAAGAAACTCTTAAATAAAAGTTCAGTGTAGTAAGACTCATAGTATGACCCACCTTAGCGATATTCTCGAAGCACTTGCGCAGATGAGGCTGTACAGCAGTGGGATCTTTCGTCTGAGACAAAATCTCGAGAAGTTCGTCCTCTGATAGGAAGTAAAATCTGGGAAAAGCTGAACGTTTCGTCTCCAGGTATTCACTGAGTCCTTTTTGAACCTACAAATACGATGATATTGTAGTTTTAATGAATGGGTGAACAGTTTTACACCAGACTTTGCTTATCAAGAACTGAGGACTGTTCAACAGATGAAGATTTCCCTTTTTTACCTGTTCTAACAGCTTGTTACATTCACGAAGACTCTCCAGAAGTCTGGCATCTGGGCACAGAGAGATAACCTGAAATCACACCAGAAAGTACTTTCAGTTAACAGAGTGTTGTTGTTGTTGTTTTTTTTTTTACTGACGAGTGCATTTCGAATTAGACGTTGATACAATGAAACCTCCATTAAGTGGTCACCCGCGGGACCTTTCCAAGAGTCCGCTTAATAGAGGTTTGTAAAAATTCTGCAATTTTTGTTAACGATTAACATTCAACGGTTACTCTGTACAGTGACAAAGTTCCATGTTGTTACCTAAGTTATCCAAAGTTCAAGTTCATCACCTTTCATTACCAACTTTAATTTGTTGGTAATAATGCAAAATTATAAAGGCAAAACGGCAACGATAATACGCGCAGTACGCGTACGTTGATTGATTACATTTAATCGACTATTTTAAGGACGTAATCCCATACACTACCTTGTGAATTCAGTCCGGTGCCCGCTTAATAGAGCGATCCGATACACACGCTGACTCACTTTTCGTTGTTTATTACAAGAGCAAACCACTTCATTGTCGTTCTTAAACACTAAAGTTAAACTATTAATTCCCTCACCTGTGGATTTCCCTTAGCACTGTTCATCACTTTCCTCCATATCCTCTCCATGGTCTGATACCTCTTGCTTTCAACTGGCAACTGTCGGTTGATGTCCTCCGAACTGAAGATGGGCTCCAGATACAGCCACTGGCGCTGACACTGTAGCCACTCGTCCATAACATCCTGTGTCATCACCAGCTTGCTCTCCCAAGTGGTGATTCGCTCCTCGAAAGGCTTCTTGTACGGTGAAAACGACATACTTTGAGCCATCACAATGTGGTCGTCCAACAGCTGAGAGCAGTCGTCGCTGACTTTCATGATAAAAGTGCCTGTTTCCTTATAAGGCATGACCTCCAGCATGACTGGCTTCCATTCTGACTCCATCTTGTCAAGCGCCTTATTAGAAAAATGGTTGAAAATCCAGGTTAACAAATAGTTCTTTGTTACTAAACCAGGAATCATAAGAATACTTTTTCCATTCATTTTTTAACATTACGATGATGTTAATGGACGCTGTTAGTCTTAAAATAGATACTGAGATATCTATGAACTTTAAAAACTTTGAATTGTCAAATGTGTTTACCTGTTCAATGGAGTATTCTTTACCAGCGATCTCAGCTACTTTAGCAATAACCTCAATGTGATCTTGTAGCTTCATCTCTAAACACTTTGTAAACGTCAGCGCTGCATTTGCTACGATTGGAAAACCAAGCTCTTTGGATAACTGTGAGTTAGAAAGACAGTACATGTATTTGTTTCAACCGGATCATAAGCTACTGCATCAGGAAGGAATTTGCCTGTAATTTAACCCATTACATCTGAAAAAAAAGGTGGTAATGGAATATTTTTTAAAGTTGAACAGTTCATCGTCGTCAGAAAACGGTTTTGTAATGCATTATAATAAGTCGTAAAATGTGAACCGTAAAAAGAGCCTTGTGCTAACGATAGAGAAAGTATTAATCGTAGATACATGTACACTAACAGTTACTAGCAGCAACACTTCCTCCTAATTAAAGACGCGATATGGGATAATCAAAACATGTTTCTTAAAATTTTCATATCAAATCATAGTATAGAGTATCAGAGCGTTCACATTATTGGGTGTAAAGAATGCTTAAAATAAAATAATATAAAATGTTTCATTCATATCACTAACAAGAGTCGAGTCGAGTTCCTTGGACAACTGTGAATAGAAAAGATAATAACTGAAATGGTTTTGTGAGATCGTGCACTGATCAAACCCATAGCTTGTAGCAACGGATTTCCCACAAAGTTGAAAACAGAAAGAACCCATCGCAAAATTGTTCTGTGTCATTGAAAACCACACCCCCAAAACTATATGAAAAGTTTTGGTAACTGCGAAATTTTTTCATTATCAAAAACGCAGACTGAATCAAACTCAAAACACGAGGGCGAGAGGGTAAGACTTGCGGACATCTAGGTAGAAACATTACATGCATCTCACCTGGTCCCAATGCCTGCTTCGCATTCCAGGATTTCTTAAGCCTTGAATGAGTGGAATGTAAGGCTTAAAGTTCTCAATCTTGTCTTTTACCTCCATGGCTACTTCTTGGCAAGCTGGGATCTCTTTGAAATGCTTGACGCACTTGAAGATCGTCTTGAACGCATTACTTACATTCTGTTCTAGTTGTTCGGCGTCGATTGTTGTGAGTGGATCGTTCATCCAGCTGTCGTACCATTTCTGCCAGTCAGAAGCTGTAAGCCACATATTCTTAAAAGGTTCAAAGTCCTTAATCAGACGGCCAAGCTTGTCGTACTGTCGAGAATTACAAAAGTGTGCAAGTCAGTAGTACGTACAAGCGATAATTCGTGCCCGAGTAAAGGGTTTATAAGGAGTTTTTAAAACCTATGCCATCTCTTCCCCAAGAGGAGGCATAACACACTAGTGAAGGGGGATGGGGTTCGCGAAAGAAAAAATACTGACTCCTTCTGACTAGATGCTTAATCCACTCCATGCTTTCCACGATCTTAACCACTAAATATGGCGATCGGAATACTGAGCACTCGCTCCATTAGAAAATGTACCTGCTATGCTCTGCGCATAAAATGGAAAGTAGATTGGCATTGGCATTTATGTTCACGCCGTCGTAATTCGCCCATGCATGACAAGAAGTCGAGCGATTGGACACAGAAGTATTGGTACTCATTTATCACGTGATATCCAGCTGCATGTGGATCATGATGTTTGAAGCAATGGAAAAAACAAACAAACAAACAAACAAACAAAGTGACTTACAGATGTGACAGGGAGCCCAAACAGCCTCTCCCTGTTGTTGTAGGTGGTGGCAAGCGTCTGGCATTCCTTCAGCTGTTTAGTCAGACGTCGCACCTCATTCGCCACCTCATGTGATTTACTGAGGTCCGTGTGAGCAGCAAATCCTGCTACAGCCATATTCAGTGAATCCAGTCTGTCTTGGAAGGTGTTCTGGTCTGCTAGCAGATTCTTCTGGAATCTCTCCTCATCAGCTTCTAGGTTGGCTTCAGTCGCTTCCATCTGCTGTTGGATTTTATGGGGCCAACCGATACAAGTCCACCTGGCCGAATAAAAAAATCAATTGTTAAGGCCATTCATATCACCTAATCAAATTGAGTTTTCGACGAGAATCAAACATTTTTCAACAACCAAAATTTCCTCAGGCCTGTGAAGCGAGTGCAATTCTTGAGTCTTTGAAAGAGAGCTTATTTATCCCAACTTCCACGAGTGCAGGTGGGTACATTTCAGGGTAAACGTTCTCATAGAAGAAATAGCCATGGAGGATACACATACATATATGAGTGAATGTGTAAAAACGCTCTTTGGTTCAGCCTTATAAGTGTTTTTTTTTTCTTTTTTTTTTTTTTGTCAAGTATACTTACTTGGCATTGAAATCCTCCGCTGATATGTTGTAATTAAATTCTTCAATTAGTTCATAGTCGATCATGGCCTTGTCAATCAGTTCCTGATTCTTCTTCAGCTGTTCCGGAATCTGCTTCATATATTCTCTTTGGTCTGCTAGTTCTTCAATGCTGTTTGGTTTGTCGTACAACTGTCGTGCAATAGTCTTGAACTCCTCACAGACCTGAATAACAAAATTGAATAACTGGATTAGTGGCTTGTTGGCTTGGTTTCGGGTTAAGTAAGGTTCTTAATCACCAAATAACAAGTGCCAGCACGATCATAGATAAATGTCTACCCCCAACAAACAAAACAATCACAGTCAGTACATGTACATGTAATAAATCTAATCCAAGGTTACCCAAGACAAGGAATGATATACAACATGTAACCATAAATAGCCATGTTAAAATGTACCCAGATTGAGCGTAAATGTAAACGTGGCCAAACTAAGGTAAAGGGGACAGACAGCCTTGTCTTTCTTTCATAGACAGTAAAGAAGCCGAAGGTCACGTGATTTTGTTCGAAAACAGTGTTTTTTCGGTGAAGCTTAAAAGTAGACGGTTGAGGTGTCTTGGCACATTTTGTTTGACGTTTGCTGTTTTTTCTTCATATTCAAAAGAAAAAAACAAGCTAACATCGGCTCTTTGACGAAAAGGAAGGTAATAACCAGTAAAGTATTGCCCAGACTGAAAACTGACTTGTGAGCGTTACCCACCATATCAGCCTGTTTACGAAGTTTCTTGGCCAACAGTTCAATAACAGCATTAGCCAGAGCTTTCCGTTTCTTTGCAAGAGCCTGTTTGACCCCTTCTGTGGAGATCCAGTATGGACCAATCACGATGCTCGATGGCAGAGAGTTTTCCAAAGTCTCCTTATCCTTTAGATGTCGTTCAATCTCTTGTTTCACTTCTGATGCAGATCGTTCTTGTGAATCGTATTCACTACATAAAATTTGAGCAAGAAACTAAATCAACAAAGCTAGAGAGCAGCGTTTACGTTAAAAAAAAAATTATGTACGTTTTAATGGCCTAAGTTTTTGTGGGTCATTACAAAAGTAATGGTCTAAGCCGGGAGCAACAAAGATCATCATGTTTCCGTAAAAGTCATAGCCGATCTACCCGCGTCAGAGTTTCACCTTTCATTTTTTTTAAACTACAATCATTCAAATAATCGCACCACACAATCATCAGAAGAGTATTACACTGATACATCAAGCGAGTATGTAGAATAATATAAATTTATGAACCTCACACAACAACTAACCCATTTATTTTTTTTTTTAATCAAAGCTTGAGATTTAGAACCCATATTTTCCTGTGAGAAAAGTTGCCCACTCTAAAATCTTCTGAACGAAAGTATACAATGGTTTGACTGCCTCTCCCATGTGCTGTATCCTACTATTTACATAAAAGCTACTCACAGAAGATACTGATTTACATCAAGATTAAACAACTCCAAGTACTGTTCGTATTGCTTGGCATAAGCTCTTAGTGGGATTAGCGACTTTTTGATCGCCTGCCGTACAGTTTCTCTTAGTTTCACCACCTCTGGTTCATTCTCGCCAACAGACTCAAGCAGAGGTGTTCCACTCCAGAATAAGCCTTCAATCACCATTTTCTCTAGCTGTGGGACACTTTTTGTACACGTGATGCCCTTGTCAAACAGCGCAATCACCACTCGGCCAAAGCTCTCCAGATCAGTGTTGTACTGAACTCCTGCCTTCTCCATTGTCAAGTCCAGCATGAATAAGGCATTCTTTTTGGGTCTGATTTTTATTTGGAAAAATATCATTAAGTTTTTACTATCACATGTACATGCTGCGTTTCTACTTTTATTGAAAAAATCTCAGTGCAGGAAATGTTCACCCAGCGAGGAATACATCAGACAGGATGTTCTACAATTACATAGAGCTTTCATGAAAATTACTGAAAGGTGCAATTAGAAGCATCATCACTTTATCACCACAGAAGTTAAAAAAGATTACTCGTGTTGTACTTTGATCTAGTTCTGGTTTGTTGTACTTTTTAAAGAAAAAAAAACATTATCTTCATCAAAATCTGCATAGTTCAGACTTGTGTTTGAACATGTACAATGATTGACATTAAATGACATGAGTACTTACTTATAATTACTGTTTATGATATCTGCACCCCAATCAAAGTCCTCCCCTAGGTCCATCACACTGTAGGTGGCATCTTGGATCATCTGAGTAAATGCTGCCAAGGAGTCCTGTACCAAGTAACGCAGTGAATCCTGGCAGAAAAAATCAGGCATACATCTAGATAGCCAATCAAGGAAGCTGGTAAATGTTGTCAAAAATGAAGGGAAAAAGACGACAATGTACACTGTTTGTCGTTTTTTTACAAAACTTTACATTGAGAAGAATGCATTTCAAGATGAGTACAACAAAACCTTGAATGGAGAATTATGGCAGGTTACACCAAGTTATTTAAGTCACCCACAGAGAAAGTATCAGAAGTTGATAAAGTGTTATCATTCAATTGCAGTCTTTTCAGTCTTTTCAATCTAAATGTATCACTTTTCCAAGAGGACAGGTCCTAAAGTTCATTAGTTACCATTTACACGTTCATAGAGGATGCAAAATGTGATCACTGCACCTGCATGGCAAATTTCACCAGCTGCATAAATTTGGCCAGCTTGGAGATTTGGTAAACTTCCCAGTTCCTTTCCTCCATGTTAAACCATCCCTTTCCCACATCCAACAGGCTGCTGCGAATGGCTGTTCTGAGGGTGTTTAACCAGCTGTCCCGCAAAAATATTTGTACCTGAAATTCAAAATTAAAAAAAATTGGCCTTAAAAAATGAACAATTAAAACAATACATTATTATCTAATTGTCTCAAATTTAGACTTTGACAAAAGCTTATGCATTTAACTTATATTGGAAATCAATGAACTACGATAACAATTGTGTCATGCATTTTCAAATAATTTGAGAAAAGTTTTGTGAAAAACATGTAGATTGCAGCTAAGGCATGTTTAAAAATTAAAGTATCTACTGCAAGCTTAGTTGTACATTATATCAGTAAATAGTAGTGTAACTTTAATGGCCTGTTCACATGTTTTGGTTAACTCTTTGCACTCTCTACAAATACAGCCTCAAAGGTTGCTTCCTCATTCCACAACAGTCAGTCCATTTGCTTTCTTATGCATGCACTTTAAGGGACTAATTGACCTGTGTGCTGACTTGGGCTTGTGTTTGCTCAAATTCTTCCAGCTTCATACTTTTTGACACAGGAACCTGGAACACTGACATGCTGGCAACTTTATTGCATTCAGTTCTCACTTTAGCCATAGCCACTATGGCTTCCTCTCTGGTCAGCAAACAGTTGAAAGCAAAGTCATCAAACTTCTCATCAAAAGGATATAAAGGAACATCTGGGTGGAATCCTTTAAGGCCAAGGAAAAAAAAGATTGTAATAGAAGCATTAATTTTCCAAAGTTGAGGTTTCATGGAGTCCAAATTAACTAGCCGAAGTTCATAGAAAATAAAATCCTTTTTACAGGACCACCATGAGTTACTGTGAATGCTTGACTTCAAAACCATGATCTAATAACATACATGAACTGTTTGCAGTTTAGCTTTTTCATGCCTGATTGGCTTTTTTCCTTGGAACACAACCTCATTCCATGAATATTTAAGGTGCTCACAGTTTTGTGCTTTAACAGTAAAACATCACCCAACTGTTTGAAGGTATATTGACTGAAGCCCCCATCCTTCAAATTATAAATTATCATGTCCATCCCATTAAAAGCCCTATTTCTAATTACACCCACTTTTAAGCTACCCATCCCTTCTCTCTACAAGATGAGAGCCATGGTTTCTAAACTTAGTCAGAAAACACCTGTTATGTAAGTTAAAAAAAAATAAGATAATTACTGTCTCATCAGGTTTACACAGTTACTCAAGATTTTCCATGCTATTTAAATGAATTGCAAAGAAAGTACTGGCAGTGAAGAACTGGGTTTAAAGTCTCATCTTGTTTTCCAACCACTTCTGGCTAAAATTAAAGTTGGAGTGGTGAGTATTTTTCTCCTGCCATGTATTTACATACTACTGAAGCTAAGGTTATATGCAAAATGATGTATGAATTCTACCACTTGAACATTTACCGGCCTTTACTGTACCTCGTTCAGGAATCACCTGCTCCTCTTCTTGAGGAAGAGTTACAAAGGGGTACGTTTCTGGTTTACTACTGACTATCCTGTCAAATGTGATTCTGTTCATGCTCCGTGAGAAGTCAACTTGGATTTCTTTAGACAATAAGTGTACATGTTCATCTAAGCTGCATAAATAACAATCATGAAAAAAAGTGTATGATTAATCCCACTACACTTGATGATTAGCAACTTTGATTCTGGAATAAATAACCTTGGGTTTAATACTTGGCCAAGGGAATTTTTTAATGTGTTGCAGAGCAAAGACTAATTCTTTCTGACATACCTCTTCCCAGCCAGGGATTTATTAATAAATGAATCCCTATACAGTGAAGATACTGACTTAATGCTGGGGAACACTGTGTAGGGATGATGGGGGGATGTAACTCATATATCTTATTAACCAAGCGCGAGGGCCGTACTGGGAGAATATCGGCCCGAGGTCTTGACAATACAGACCAAGCATGGCGAGGTCCGTATAAAAAAGACCGAGGGCCAATATTCTTCCAGTAGGGTCCCAAGCAAGCTTGGTTAATAAGAGATTTATTATACGACTGAAGTTCAAAGGGATACAAGTGCGGTATCATTCGGACCATTCGGGACAGTGCCCAGTCCAATACTGAGAGAATATTGACCGGCAATAGAGCATTTTGATTGGCTGATTTTAGTTATTGGCCCTCTGACTGCCCGAGTCGTGTAATAAATAGTAACATTACAATCTCAATGAATTCGAAGGAGATTTATGTGAATGGTCCCACAGCTTTACTCACCCTAACCTACATACATGTACACTGTATGCAGCAGCATAAAGATTATATACAGTTGTAGTCATATCACACTAGAGAATCTTGAATTCAGGGTCAAAAGTGAGTCAGTATGGGCTTGCACATTATTTTATATTCCCATACAGATAAGCTGTTCAATTTTCAATATAAAAATGGGTGATAAATTTAATATACATGTATATGGATGTTCAATGCTTGGAACTTTCCTGAGCAAAGAACAGAAAAAGTTTTGCTAAAAGAGAGATAAGTTAAGTACCTTTTGTCGCTCTTCAGTGTTCTAGTTCCTTTAGCCCAGGTGATCATTCTCTCTAATGAGCTGGGATCAAGCCTGACCACTCCATCCACAGGCATGCAATCAACATACAGATTGTATCTGAGTAGAGCCTCTGTTTCACAGCGCAGGGCATATGCCTTGGATACTCTTTCAGCAAAGTTAATTGGATCCTCAGCAGCAAACAATAGCTGTATTCTTGGAACCCAAAACTGCGAACCTTCAACTTTGGAACGTTTCCCTTTTGGTTCCTCATTGTCATGTGCTTCACCATTCACTGTACCATTTTCCACCAATCCATTAGCTGTTGGGACAACATTGTGCTGGAGGCCTCCTGTACCAACAACTTGTACTAAAAATAACTGTTTCACATCATTGTAATCTAGAGTACCAACATCTGTCCATGCATATTTGTTGCCATTTTTACTGCTTTCTCTCAACAACAGTGCTTTTCCTGGTACTGGATGTTGTTTACCATCAACTAAACCCAGTTCCAGCCACTCTTTTGGATTGCGGCAATCAAATTCTGTGTCATCAAATATATAAAGGGGTAGGAAGGCAGGAAATGGGGCAGCATCAGGTCCTGTGAGATTCACTCTCATGTTGTAGTCTCCTTTGGGCATAAGCTCAGATGTCTTAACTCCAAGCTCTTCCAGTAGTGTGTTTATATCTTGTTTGGAAAATACACGCTTTTGTCTGCGAAGGAATGTACAGTTATAAGTACCAGATCCATCTTAAGGATTTATATGTGTATGCATTTTATAGGTAAAAAAAGGAATTATTGTCTTCTATTCTTCAATTTATCAAAACAGGTAAAATTAAATCACAGCAGCTGGTAGTCTCCAGAAGATAGAATATTTGCTATTTTCAAACACATGCTCCTGTTGCAGGTCTCTTAATTTGCACTGTCTAGTACTTCACCAATCCTTCAACCCACTTTCCCAGCCTACACCTAGAAACTTGAAAGTAAATCAGCAAGAAAAAAGGAAACTAACCTTTCAATCTCAATTTTTCTAGGAACTTGACCTGGCTCTGCCTTGTATGGGAGTTGAACCTTAGGCTCCCAAGATTTTTCAGGAAAGTCCTGCAGAAAAAAAAATTAAATAATTATGCAGGTATCAAAACATAGAGGACATAAATCTCAGGGTAAGAATTAATCAGGGTACTCAGTATTGCTGTAACAGTAATACATGTATATCCAGCATCTGCAAGCATGAAGAAAGCAATTAATACTTACAGAAACTGTTATAGGTGCTGTAGTTGGCCCATGAACTTGATCCTTTAAGAGTGAGCTTAATGCTTGAGAAGACATAGGTCCCTTGAATGTTTGAACTGAAAAGTGATCATGGCACTCATGTGTGTATTGAATGGATAATTTATCAATATACAGTGAAAAATTATCAGTAAGTTATCAATGAATTAAAAATAATGGCATCCCTGATGGATGAAATCAGCCAGCTCCACATTTATTCAAAATTTTCAAGAGTGAACTCAATTAAGCCTCTAACACCCAAGATCTGATTGTTAATTCTCCCCTCTGTATGGGTATTACACTGTAGATATTTCCTTGTAAATTAGTTCCTAGAATTTGGTGTTAGATCAGGATAATGACAACTTTTATGTGATAACTTTGAGTACTCTCATTACCTGTTTGCTGGATAATCTATACAAATTGTAGGGAGAAGTCTCATGTTAATCATCTCTGGATTACATCCTTGCAGGATTAACACGAACATGTTAAAAAAATATACTGTTTTGCATGGCAGGTATTCAGCAAAAATAATAACATGTGCAAGAAAATGTAGATTTACATGAACATGTTAAAAAAATATACTGTTTTGCATGGCAGGTATTCAGCAAAAATAATAATAACATGTACAAAAAAAATGTAGGGAGAGAGCTGTTTATCAAGTTCTCCCTCGCATGTGCATGTCTATGCCGATCAGAATGTCCTGTGCCCCCTTGGATTGAGCACTTTAGAAGTACACCAAACAATAACATAATTAAACAGCAAACATTCCTCTTTGACATACAATGTAAACTGTACATTCAATAACGCCCCCTACTTTCTTAGTAGATAAAACAATGAGATACAGTTACTGAATGTTTGATCGAAAGCAAGTTGTTACCCTCTGGCATATGCTTCACTTTGGCAGTTTTCCATAATGTACTTCTGGAGGCTGCTGGACCACCAGTAATACTCTGTGTGGAAATTAGAACTTTATCTTTAGAAATTATCTCGAACATCAGAGTATATACTTCATCTTAAAACATAATTTAGTCACATCTAATCTTAATAGGTTTTGTTTACAAACTGTATTATTTGAGCTCCAAGGCAAATTAGTTCCTTGTAAATTGCCATAATCTATCAGATAATAATTTTCCATGCGCGTGGAAAGAAAAATAATTGTAGCTAAGAAAAGATAGAGAGCACTATAAATTGGACACCATTAAGCAAAACGTGTGTAATTAGGCTCAGCGGATCGATTTTCCTCCAGATGAAAAAACTTATTTCAAGTTTCGCTAATTCTTCTCACTTTGCATGTTGCACGAACTGATTATGCACTTGGGTGTATGATCCTTCAAACTTACCCCAAGCTCTGTTTTTGATCCTCCTCCTAGAATATCAGAGTAATAACCTCTTTGTCGTATCGTAGGATAAGTTAATCCTCCCGAAGAAGGCGACTTGGGAGTCCCAGACGAAGTTCGTCTGCCATTTCTTGAGCTTCCTTGCCTGTTGGCGCTCATTACCAGTCAGTTTGATCAATAACCCTCACTTTGTTTTCTAATATCTTCCAAGAGGAAGAAAGTGCTCCAAAATAGAAAAAAGTTGCAGATTTTGACAACTCTAATAACACTTCAACGTAAAATAGGCCGCCATATTGTTTCTCTAATGCCCTTGGCACAGGTTCCTATGACAACACATGTTGGCGGGAAGGTTCAGCGACTTCGGATAACCTCGGTCTTTTTTTCCGAACTTTCCCGATGACACCGATACGAGAACCCGGATTAAGAAGTTTTCAAGATGGCGGCTAGAGGGGGTTTGCGTCTCGGTCAAGCTCTTCTTCGCCGTGCGGCATTTAGACCACAGACTTTGATTGGCATAAGAAAAGGTAATTTTGGGACAATTTTGAAATTACTCATCTGAGCTTCTCTATGGTTTATGCCGGAATTTCTTGAATTTTCACTTAGATTAGACACATTTGTTCATCTACAAAATATCGCAGCCGGGCCAATTCCAAAAGAATATGAATTTAAGCTTAAAAAATGTAGTGTGCGTCGGATAATCAGGAGTTAATCACAAATTTATTGTTTCTGTTTTCGAATAACTTCAGGGTTCATAAATTGATATCTACCTGGAAAGTTTCTACTTCGCTTATATTGTTTTGCCGGAGCAACTTTTACATTTATTTGAAGCAGGTTCACTGATGTTTCTGATTGGATCCTCAGCAAAGAGATAAGTTGAGATAAGATTAAAGAGTTTAGTTGAACCTCGTTTATCCGGACTTGTTGGGACTTGATGAAATAGTCCGAATAATCGAGCGTCCGGACCATCGGGAATATGAATATTAATGAGGAACAAAAACCATTGAAATTAGGAAAGCGAACAAAACATTCACAAATCGTTCAAATCTTCACTGTTCGTTGTGAATACCTCTACACGTGTGTATTAACAATTTAAATTAATGAAAAACGTTTTTAAATTGGCCTAAAATGTTGATGTTAGTCAGTTTGTCTTAAAGAAGAACTTCTTATGCGCATTGCGAGTTCCATCATTCCAACAGGCATACCGGACTTTATTGAGCTGTTCATTATGTGCATCTTCCACCGATTTATGCTTCAGTTCTTGGCTGGTCTCTGAGTTGTTGGCAAACTTCATGATTTTTCCTTGTTTTTGTGGATATCTGATATCTGTTACTTACTAACATCATATTCAGCTGACAAATTGGTTCCTTTTTCTCCATTTTCTTATTGCAAACTGTGTATCTTTTATTGAAAGAAGGGATCACTTGCACTTCAAGGACATGATGATGGTGAATAAATGATTGTGATGCTGTGCAGCTTGTTTATCTTGCATACCATGTCCAACAAGCCAATAGTGCATGAAATCTCCCTTTGCAATGTTTTTCATTAGTTATGACGTATGCAAGCCCTGCTTTTGCTTTTTGAAAGTGGAACAAACTGGTTTTTACTTTACTTTTTGATGTTGTAGTTTAAAAAAGAGTATATCAATAAATCTTGATCATAACTTATAAATATTCATGAATGACAAATTGGGACCAGAGAAAGAGTTTGGATGATTAAGAAATATAGATAATTGAGGTTCGACTGTAGTTTGCATGAGAAGAATTTCTGAACTATGATGAAACTTTACTATTACAGTCTAAGTTTTAAAGCAAACTTACTCTAAAAGAGCCCTGCATTCTATCTAAATAAGTCATAGATTTGCAGTTTGCCATTTCTTTTAAAATGGAATAATTTTGATAGTTTAAAACTTAGTTTTAAACAACAGATGTCATCCTGCAGCTCTTAGAAGTAAATAAACTGTCAAATTTGTGAGATTTACAGCAAACCATTTTTACTGATTTTTTAATGTAAATATTGGTTTTTTAGATGATACCTGCACTTCCATCAATGTTATTTTAAACAACAGACAGAAGCAAACTTACTCTAAATGAGCCCTGCATTCTATATATACAAGTCATACAGATTTGCAGTTTGCCATTTCTCTTAAAATGAATCAATTTTGACATATCACATCTTAGCTTTAAACAACAGACGTCATCCTGCAGCTCTTAGAAGTAAACTATCAAATTTGTGAGATTTACAGCAAACCATTTTTACTGATTTTTTAATGTAAATATTGGTTTTTTAGATGATACCTGTTATTCCATCAAAGTTATTTTACTTTGTCAAATAGTTTTAAAAGTGCTAGCCATTCCCTTCTCACTCTTGTGTCAAGCTGATAGTTGACAAGATACACCTATAATTGCCTCAAGCCCTGAAAAAGCTTGAGAATTTGATTAGTTTGTCATCATTTTCTGTGAAAAGAGAGCAGTTTCCTTCCTATTGATCAATTTATTTACTTATTTACTTTCCATTGCATTTTGTGCAGCCAGTGATGATCACATAAAGTATCCTATTCCAACTCCGGAGGATGATTGGAAGAATTTCAATCGTCCATGGCCAGATGATGGTTATGCCCTGGGGGACTATCCCAACCTTCCAGAGATTTGCAATCAGAGAAGACAACATTTAGGATGGTGGGATGTTCAAGAACGTAGAAACTACAATGAGCCTGTTAGTGTCTTGATCCTAGCATAGAGGATACCATTGTTGTGCATGATACTTGTTGGTAGTGCTTTATGATTCTTGTTAGAACCTAAAATGTATTCTTCGATGATGGACACAAGTAACTACACAATAAATTTTTTACCTGTATGCTCCTTGTTATATTTCATTGTTTCCATTTTTTGTTCTAAATTGTTAATCTCCCTTCACAAGGGTGAGAGGAATTTGAATAGCAACTGTACAGATAGAGTACTACAAATAAAAATATAAAAATAAGAAAAAGAATTTTTAGAATGTACAGTGTACACCTTGGGTCATGTATCTAACAGTTACTTGTTATGGATTTTAGAACTGGTTTTACCCCTAAATTGAGAGGACCATTCAAGCAATCAAGTGTTTCTCTTATTTTCTATAGATACATTTGGACGAAGATGCACTTAACGTTTGGGTGTGGAGTGAGGTGACATGTAATGACAGATACACACCGTAAGTATAGTCTCAGCTAATTTTCTCAGTGCTCATAGCTGTGAATTGACTTCCCAAACCATCAAGGGTTTTTTTTTTTTTTTTTTTTTTTTGGGGGGGGGGGTTGAAGGGATGCTATTTGGTGCCTCATTCCATTCACATGAAGGATGTATAAAAAAATTTTGTTACCTGGGAGCCTCAGTCATTTGTTTACATTGACTTAAAAAAAAAAAAACATTAAATTTTGTGTTTGTTGTAAAATCTTCAGGGGTGAAATACTGATGCAACTGGGTATTGCCACTGCCACTCTTTGCTTTGTTGGATACCTCTCTTACCTTTATGATCAAACAGACAGAAACCCTGCGGTAAGAGGCTAATGGATTTGTGTGATTTTGATGTTTTAATAGTTTTTTCCTAAAGAATGTACCTGGTGTCCAGAAGATTACATATTTGAAAATAGTCAAAATCAAAAAGTACTTGTCTAAATTCAGCTCCCAGTGTAGGGTAGAGAAGAGGTATACTCCAGAAAAACAAGTACCATGATTTTATTTTTATCTCCACAATTAAAAAAAATGTACATAACTATGAGACTGACTGAAACATATTAGTTTATCATAAAGGAGTTTGTTGAACAAACTCTTAAAAGGATGATTTACTATTTATGTTTTCCCTTACAAAATGTCAAATTCAATAATTTTATTGTCAGATATTTTTAATATCTTAAAGCATTTGGACAGTTTGTCTGCAGTGCTGTACTTTTATGGATTAAGATGAAATTATTAACCCCAACTTATAATTCTGTTTGATAATTTTGGAACATTTTATATATCAGGTTCCAAAGGAATACCCTTTTAACAATCTGTACCTTGAGCGAGGAGGGGACCCCAATAAAGACCCAAGTGAGGAAGTCTTCCATCCAGACCAGAGAGTCATCCCACGTAATCTGTATGGATCCTGATGCATTTTTCATGGGTCACCAAACAGTTCTGATTGCAAATCCATCAAAATAGAATTCATGTTAAGCTCTGAGATTTTTTTCCTAACTGTATTTTGTGTACAAGTGTGTGAAGAATGTATCTTTAGTGCAGATGTATATAACATTAAATTTTAATACGGTGTATAAACAGTGTTCATTATGTTTTTTTTTTTTTTTTGAACCCTCTTACTCCTAAGGTCTGGGCAGTAATTCTCCTTACTGTCTGCCATACAACTCTTCTCTTGTTAGTTGGGGAATTTGGTATTGGATCAACTACTAAACCCCTAATTAATATTTTTCTTTATTCTGATCACTTGCCTGCTTGATGTTGTAGTCATGTTAAGAAATTCTGTCTCCGTCTTTCAAGTGAGTTTAAGGATTAAAGAGATTGAAGGATTATGGCTAATGATGCATGGACAACTCTTTCACCTTGATAGAAAATGAAATTGAGTATTTCTGTCAAGGTATGATCTTTTGCAGATTCCAATCAATGTTTGGAAAGAAAAAAAAATGAAAAGCAAAACAAAAAAGCCGGATTGTAACAACCCAGAATATCCTAAATTTAAAGAAAATGCGTATGAATAAGACCAGCTAACCCAAATTAAGCTCTCGAGTAGCAGAACGTATTTGAAAAAAGAGCTTCACTTCTTTCCTGATGTCTTGCTTCATATTACTGTATATGAATGGGTTAAATGCCGAGTTGCATATGAATAGTAACCTCTGTGTATGCACTAAATCTGTTGGAATATCACTTATACAATGAAATGTAAAGCAGAAAAGTCTGGCGATGTCAATAGCGTAACATATGAAAAAGATGGCTACTATGATACCGAAAGCTTTGGAAAATGTGGTTGCTCTACCTTGTGATCCACTGTTCTTCATATCATCGAAAGCAAAGCCATTGAAGAGTAACTGAGAGAGAAGAATTCTCTGACGCTTGTTTTGTCTGTGTGTTATATATAATGTCCTTGAACAAGCTGTAATTAATAGGAGACATGAAGGAAGTTTATATACGAAGAGCCAGATGGCATGACAAATTTTCAAGACAATGTGCGAGTTCAAATAGCACACTACTGTAAATGGCACAAAATGAAAAGCAAGTGGTATGATCCACGCCGCCGATATTAAGGACAAGTGCCGTCCCTTAGCCTTGAAAGCAGTATACTTCAGGGGAGTAGCAATCGCCATGTACCGATCAATTGTTAGTGCACAGAGGTTAGTCATAGATAGATCGAGGAATAACCATCGTATCGCTTCCGCTACGCACTTGTTGCTAGGATCATATCTACCGGCCAGGAAGGAGAAGCATAAAAATCCTACACTAAAATCCGCAGCAGCGAGCGAAAATAAGAACCAGTTGATTGTGCTATGGAGACGCTTCCTTGAAATAATGAGATACATTACCAAGCCGTTTCCAAGGACTGTTAATAGGGAGAAAATCCCTCCAACAACCCAAAACCAAACGGGAATTGCAAGATCCATCCTGTTCATGCGAATTCGAAATAATCTTATCATTCTGATGGTGAATCACAGCTATTTTATAGAAACAGTCTACTCTGCGCGTGCGAAAAGGAGTCGAAAATTGGTTGACTTTCTTTTAATAGATTGCTACTCAAAGGTAAATATTGAATCACGCGCGCTCTGATTGGTCAAATGAAGGGCTCCGTCATTTTCATTAATATCACCCTCACGCCAGGGATTTCAAAACATTCGTGCGCGAAATGTTGAAAGAATGAAAATGAAAGAAAATGTCGTTGCTCAGACTGGCGCCTGAGTAATTATATAAGATATATGTTTTCTGCCCCGTACTGTAAATGTTTGATAGAAAAATGCCGGCTTGTCGGCAAAGTAAAAATCTCGTCGGACGAACTAGACTACGAGGGTGGATTTTTCGACAATGTTTACTGGCTGTTTTGGAAATGGATGAATATTCTATTTTGATTACGGGTCACATTTGGTGTAGTTTGAATTTCAGTTTTGAATTTCAGTCTGTAATCCTTTTCGTTATGATTATAGTGCAAATAAGGGCATCATTCAGGATACTGATGAAATGACGAAGCCTAATGTGATGTTTCATCGTCAAGGCCAACTGTCTCTCACCTTTCCTTACTGAAGGTGGTACCTGTTTTCTCCCTTGGCCTAAGAACGCGGTTTTCAAAGTTGCATATTTGGTTCACCGTGGTCAAATTAAGCGTGATTTGTCTCTTCGGCTGCTCGGAGGTGAGTAGTGCTTGCCAGTCTCTTCTGAACCAGCCAATCAGCGCACGCGAAAAGTACTTTTTACTTGTGTGGTATATACTGATGATGGTATTTATAGAGCTGGCAGAGCCAGTGGGCAACATGATGTGAATTCTGTGTTCTGATTGGCTACCCGAGCGGGCAAGATGGTCCCATCTTGCCCGCTCGGTATTTTCCGCTTTGGTCCCGCGCAAGAAGAAGACTTGCAAGGTTCGTAACTTTTGAACAAAGTCAGCGATGAAGTCGCAAAAAGCGGCAGAAGATAGTCAAAACAAAGAAAACATAAACGAACCTCGTGGGTTTATTGTGCTAGTCATTCTTGATTCTTATCCAAGCGAAATATTTTTACTATAAAATAAATCCTTTATTGACCAAGCTTGGTCGGTCAAAATGGCTTGATATTTAACCTCGTTCCTTTTTTTGCCTTTTCATGGACCTCGACTTCGTCTCAGTCCATCAAAATGCGGGAAAAAAAACGCGGAAAAAAAAAACTCGGCAACTATCTAGCCATCTTGACCTCCGGCTTGGTCAGTAACGCATATATGTTTACCGAGCCTCGAAGCCAAGAGGGGAACATCTATCATCTTCACCGATACTGAGATAAATAATTGTTTTATTATATTCCACACCGAAACCAAAAAAATGATTTATTTTTGTCAATTTTTAATGGTAATTCAACTAAGTCGAGTGCAATTTGGGCTGAAATCATACGCGGGATTTTAAAATCGAAGGAGCGGCTAGCGCGAGTTCGATTTGAAACCACAAGTATAGTTTCGGACCAAAATTGCACGACACGAGGTTCAATTACCACTTTATTACATCCATTTTGAAATCGCCCAAATACAGGACTTGGTCAATTCAAATATTTTACTGATGCAGTACTGAGCCGGTTTTTAAATAAAAAGCGGAACCGGAAACGCTTTTACATCTTATTTTGTATGCAAAACAGAAAGACTGACGTCATGTGTCAAAAACTCAGTCAAGCGTAAAATGATACGATTAAGAGCAAAAAATGGTGCGATTCGTCACTACATCGCACCAATTAGAGCCAATCAGATTACAGGGACCACCAATAATTTCAAAATGGATGCAATAAACCAAAAAAAAAGTCAGTAATCAAACTCTCTACGCGCGATTTTGTCTCTACGGCTGCTCAAAGGTGGACAGTACTTGCCAATCACAACTGACTAGCTGAATCAGCGGGCGCTAAAAGTAATATTGACCTGTGTAGTTTACATGTATACTAAACTCTTCTAATCAAGCGTTTCAGCTCACATCGAATGTCGCGCTTAAGGAAACCGTATATAAATGGATTGCTTGCTGAATTACATATGAACAGTATCCTCTGCACGTAAACCACATCCCATGTAATATAATTTATGCATTTTAATGAAAAGCAGAGAAGGCGCGCTATGTCAATGGCGTAACAAATCAAAAAGATGAAGACTATGATTCCGAGAGCTTCGGAAAAAAGAGTTACACGACTCCGTAATCTGATGCATTTTGAGTCATTCAAAGAAAAACCATTAAACTGTAGCTGAGAAAGACGGATACTATACCGGTTCTTCTGCCTGTGTGCTATGTACAAAGTTCTTAAACAAACTGTAAATAATACAAGATAAGGCGGGAGTTTGAAAGCGAACAATACAACCGCATAAAATATGTTAAGTAACGTATACATCCTGGTGCAGTACATCCACGCAAATGGCACAAAGTGGAGAATAAAAGGTAAAATCCACGCTGCTGATATAAAAAACACGTGGCGTCTTTTAGCCTTATGCTTTGCGTACTTCAGAGGAGTAACGATCGCCATGTACCGGTCAACTGTTAGTGCACAAAGGTTAGTCATAGATAAATTGAGGAATAACCATCGTACCGGGGTTGTCACACATTTGCTACAAAAGGACGCAGACTCACAAGCCAGACTTGGAAGGTAGGTCAATCCTACACTAAGATCGGCCACAGCAAGCGAAAATAAGAACCAGTTGATTGTGTTACGAAGCCGCTTCCTTGAAATAATGAGATACATCATCAAACTGTTTCCAAGGACTGTCAATATCGAGAAAAATCCGCCAAAAACCCAAAACGATACGTCCCCAACAGACTCCATGTTTGTCGTAGGATTTCTAGAATGAGAACTCGGTTTAATGCTTCTTCTAAAATGATGGCTTTGTAGAAGTCGGTGACGTCCTTCCAATGACGTTAAAAGTGCGTCCGGATCTGATCACATCGTTTTTAATCAAGCGTCAATTTTTTATCTCTATAATGGAATACTCATTGTTAATTTATGTTCCCTTCCTGTGACCAATCACTTAGCTGTTGGAGTCCAGTCTGTGAACTTTTCCGTGATAGATAGATAACAAAGTGGAGATGGGCAGGTCCAAATATTGATAATATAGATTAACCACCGTTAAGAGTTTAAAAGCTGACGTTTCGAGCGTCAGCTCTTCGTCAGAGCGAATGGAGGAGTTGTGGGTCGTGTTTATGTGTCTATATGCAGAAAAATAGCGTAGCTTCATTTTCAAAAGCTGGGCTCTGACGAAGGGCTAACGTTCGGAACGTCTGTTTTTAAACTCTTTACGGTAGCTAATTTACATTACCAAAGCAGTCGATAAAACCAATATTACCTTGTTACTCCAACCGACACAGCACCACAGTTTCTCTAGAAAATCACTCCGTTTATTCTCTAGTCCAAATATTGATCATCCGAAACCACCAAAAACTGTTGTGGTACTGAAGTAATGATCAATAGAACTAGCTCGTTGCTCTAATGAAAATGCTTGAAAAAAAAAAAACTTTTCATATTTGATTTCTTGATGGGTAAAGAACTGCAGTATTTTCCACCAGAAATTTCTTTCTTTTTTTTTCTCTTTATTCTCTTACTCAAAGTGGTCTGTAAATAGCTCTTCAAACCTGAAATGATTTTTGCCTTCTTATTGCGTCGCATACGATATTAGTCCTCACGCGATGACTTCTTTTGTCCGGTCCAAGGGAAGTTTTCTGGAGAGCAAATTTGAAATTTTCTGTCATTGAAGATGCGAGGAATTAAGAAAGAAGACCATTGTAAATAGAACAATCGCGCACAAAAATAATACTTGCTGAGTATAGAAAATTAAAACAAAACTGATTCCCTCACCGCTGACGGATTATCAATAATCTAAAATCCCATTCACCGTACTTCGTTAGCGTAAATTGAAATTGTCAGCTGTTTTTTTAATGATATTCTTGTTTTTCTTTAAAGCGACTTGGAGGAGAAAAAAGTTAATCGTACGATTGTCAGGGGATATTCGTGACAGACGGTGTTTCACCTGAAACCCTAATGAGTGTATCTGTTTTCAGTCCAACCTGTATAGAGAGGACTTCGTATTACACTTAGATGCACTAAGTTCACACTCAAACTCAGCTCTAGTGTTTACAAGTATATCCACTGGTTGTCGTGGGCAAGAGTGTTCCGATAGACCTTACTGTGGCTTTATCATTCACACAAAAGATGTTTTATTTGAAAGAACATATCACATGTCCATTGAGGGTGAAGGGAGAAGTTTTACAAAGTTCAATATACAAAATGTACACAGAAAATAGTTAAAACTTCACTTTTCTCCTGATTTGTTCAGTTTGGCAAAGCCAGTTTTATTCTTGACTTCTGAGTGTTGTTCATAGATTTCATTAAGTTTACCATTTACACTTGTTATTGATACTGAATAAAGGGGGTAAGTTTCTAAAGAAACTGTGCTACTGCGTCGGTGGTACGTAGTAACTAATGTAAATTGGCCACTGCAAAGATTTTCAAAGCTGAAGTTTCGAGCGTTAGCGTGGAGGAATTGCTGGTTGCGTGTGTATTTATATGCAGAAAATGAAACCACGCAATTGGTGGTGGGAACATGGTAACGAGAATGAATTACATATGATGCACGATCTTCGCAGTAGATAGCGCTATTTGGGGAAAATCAGACCTGAAAAAAAAAAAGTAATAATAAGTCAGGCCTTTACGGGATTCGAACCACTGACCTCTGCGATACCAGTGCAGCGCTCTACCAATTGAGCTAACAAGCCAACTGGGAGCAGGCCGTTAAGTTGATTCGTAATAAACCCGTGAAAGTGATAAATCAGATACAATGAAATATATGAAGTTCATATATTTTGAACTGCGGTATTAGATACACATGATGCACGATCCTCGCAGTAGATAGCGCTATTTAAGCAATAGCGGCGAAAATCAGGCCTGTACGGGATGAATTAGTTGAGTGAAAAGCATTCGTTGATACCGTGGGGATTAAGAGTGCCGATTTGAAAGATAAACTTTTTTTCAGTCTAAAGTTTTGCGGCTACCTACAGAAGGAAAGGCCGGAGACTGCCATATTTGGCATGGCAGTCTTTGCGCGATCAAGGTTTGAAGAACTATTTATAGACCACTTTGAGTAAGAGAATAACTATTGACCTCTTAAACCGCAGGGGAAAGGATCAGATATCAACGTATAACCAGTATTAAATGGCGAAAAGAGGGATGAAACCAAGCACGTTGACATATCAACTACTTTATTGTAGCTGCAGTCCTTTAAATACGCTTCTCACGCTCTCATACAACGGCTCTGTGCGTGAACTCCTTCACATCTATTGGGCACTACTTCAAGAGGCATCATCTATTTACAATCGAAACACTGAAAAAGGGAAGAGTGAGGACCGTGTTCATGATGATCACAAATAAGCTCTGACAAGAGAGGATAAAGTGCACTTTCTCCTCACTTAGCTCTAGAAACAAATTCTGAGTGTTATGTTTCAATCTGCATTTTGTCCCAACAAGTTTCATTCGAGATTGACGATCGATACTTTGATTTCAGTCTGAAAAAATAGAACTCACTGATTGTAGTTCAGTTTCACTTGCAAGATGGTGAACGTTTATCAAGATAAATACGCTTTTCTATCATCAGTTAATGTGTTAAGTACACAGATTAACATTAATGGTATATCAAATATCGAATAATGAGACACAAAAAAGAGCTTTCCCTCTATTAAGATGATAAATCTACAATGAATGGCGATAACTCGAATAAACGAATTATTGAAAAGCCGTACAAACGTTTTCTGTTTCCGGATCTTGAATTTTTTAGGTCTCAAGACGCCCACAATAAAATTCCAGAAAAAATTTCAGTTTTTCCTTTTTACCTGTTCAATAAAGACCTAAGTTTCTTGTTTTGAATGTGAAATTATTACGGCAGGTTTTCATTTCTTTTTCAGTTCAGTTGCATGGCGAAAATTTTGACTAAGAGAATATCATAACAATTGAGGTCTAGTTCTTTGCAGTTATTCTTGTAGCTCTGACTACTTCGTTGGTTCCACAACTGGAGATAACTGATGATTTAGACAAAGAAAGGAAGAATGATCTATTTGCGAGTTGCGATGACATCGAAGGAGACCGAAGTTGGAGAACGTGAACTTCATAAAAATCGTGCGCTCTTCTAAAATAACGGCAGCAAATTAAATTTTTGAAAAGGTTAACAAATCTCTCAATATTAATCACGATTGAGCCAAAAATAAAGGGGTTGACCAGAGAATTTGTGTAAGTGAGTATGTTACTAAATGTTGCCACTTTGTTGAACAAATCGTGGGGATTCTCGGAGCCGTTACCAAAATCGTGCCACAGCCAAGTAATATGCGTTGGTAACATGCAGATTGCAAATACAAGAACAGCTATCACGAATGCCTTTACAATTGTGTAGTTTCTCTCCAATCTTTCATCAATGGATTCCTGAGAGAATGTTCTCGTTCCTCTTTGTCGTTTTATCTTTAAGGACCTCGTATCTTTTTGTAGTGCATAAATCGTGAAAGCGTAGAGAAAAGCCATGATACTCAAAGGTATAAAGTAAAGGACGATGAAGATGATGACGGTAAACATCTTGACAAAGTAGGCGTTTGGCCATTCTTCACTGCATATGGATCCTTTCAACTTCAGGACAAGTGATAGAGGCAGGACCATCAGACCGGATAAAAGCCATATTAAAGCAATGACAATCAAACCAGTTTTAACTCGTATTCTTGGCTTCATTGGAGTAACTATCAGTCTGTAACGTTCAACGCACATGAATACCAAAGTCGTGACGGAGACATAAACAAGTACGGATTGAAATGGGTAAATAATGCGGCAAAGAAAGGCTCCGTAAGGAAACTCGCCGGTCAACTGCTCTCCAATATCAAAAGGAATGCTTATAAGGCACGTTCCTGCATCGGTGGCCGCCAGGTTCAGTATTAGATACTCGTGGAGCTTTTTCGTCCTCCGTTTAAAAATTGTTCTTAAAACGAGAAAATTTGCGGCTGATCCTAGAAGAGCAATCAAAATCAGCAGTGAAACTGCTATAGGTACCGTCTTCTCTTGTCTCCCTTGTTGACCTCCATTTCTTTGATGCACTTCTACAGTGGTGTTGTTGGAAAGAAGATTTGCGTGATCCATTCCAAGAGGAGGCTCTGACCCATGTGGAAAGGTTTGAGATAAACAGTTTTATGTAGTTTCAAATCATGATCATACACATAAATGAGACATTTCATCAATGACAGCCAGTTCTTTCACTCATGACGCGCGGTAGGGGTCGGGGTCGTTATACTAAAAGTTTAAAGTTTCACTTAATATTATCGATACTAACCTTCCTGGTTATCTCCGGTGGTTTCAGCTTGCAGCTTTGCATGTACCCTGCCGGAAAGTGATATGATATTGTATCCACTCACATAGATCCAATTTAAAAGAGAGAATTTAGAGTGCTATATTCAGAAGATTATATGACACGTCTTCGGTTCTTATCCTAAATCAACGGTACCTGAGAACAACTAGGAAACAACCTTGAGACTTTGTCTGTTGTTTATTATGAGGGTGTTCCCAATTACCCTCTAGAGCCTCCCTCTCGCTTAAAAGTTGAGCCGAGGAAAGCAGGTTTTCTTTTTTTAAGGGGGGTATGTTTTCTGTCTTCTATAACTTTTATAAATAGCTTTCGGAAACGGGTAGGTTGGTCGCTTGAATACTGCGTTATTTCAGTCTTGATGGACAGTCGTGGTCAAAAAGGAAGCGGGTGCGTTGCAAATTACATTTTTCCTAATTATCGATTCCAAACGCTTTGAGGTCACGTCTCGTTCCGTAGCCTCGACTAACGTCGGTTTTAAAAGCCATAGCCATTTGTAATATTTACTAACATGAACTTAGGAAGCTTTGTATCGGGAATTTCTTTCACCCCTCTATTAGCTATGGTCTAGGGGATACTTTCTGTGCCATTCTGCCAACCACCTGATGGCTTTGATTGTCCTAATGGCGTGTTAATGAACACGCAGAAATCTAAACTACCCAATAGTAAATAAAAATACATGAAAACACGTTGAGTCGATGGATTTCAAGCGATAACTAGAGCTCTTAAAATCTATGCAGCTTATTTTTATTTTCGAAAGCTAAGTGTAATGAAATAATTTGAATATATCAACAAAGTTGAAATGGTAAATTGGCCACCGTTACGATTATAAAAGCTGACGTTTCGAGCGTTAGCTAGTTAGCCCTTCGTGGGAGCGAATAGGGGATTTGTGGGTTGTGAGTGCTTTTAAAGGCAGAAAAAGGAGCTACGTGATTGGTGGGAACATGGCAACGAGAAAAACACGAATAAATTAGTGGAATGATAAGTGTTTGTTGATACCTGTGAGATTTAGACTGCCGGTTTGAAACATGAGCTTTTGTTCAAGAGTTTTCCGGCTTTCCGTGCTACCTAAGTGTAAGGAAAGACCGCAGATTGCCATGTGTTGCTTTGAATGGTTAGGAAAATTAAAATGTCTAGCGACTGGTTTCGATGTGTCCTTGTCATTCCTTTCCACGTCATTCCTCTCCGCGTTCGCGGAAAGCTCATCTTTCAAACCGGCAGTCTAAATCCCACAGGTATCAACGAACGCTTTTCATTCCACTAATTTATTCGTGTTTTTCTCGTTGCCATGTTCCCACCAATCACGTAGCTCCTTTTTCCGCCTTTAAAACCACACACAACCCACAAATCCCCTATTCGCTCCGACGAAGGGCTAACGCTCGAAACGTCAGCTTTTATAATCGTAACGGTGGCCAATTTACCATTTCAACTTTGTTGATATATTCAAATTATTTCGTTACCCCCACCGACGCAGCCCCAAACAGTTTCTTTAGAAACTATCAGCCTTTATTTAAATGTAATGAAGCTTATTACACTCAAGTTTCGCTACACCTTGATTTCGTGATTTTTGCAATTTACTAAAACGTGCGTCATAAACCTTTGCATGTGCGAAAATGAAGTAAGCAGCGGAGATTTTAAGAGCTTTAGTCATCGTTCGAAATCCATTCACTCAAAGTGCTTTCTTTGATTTTCGAGAGCACGCTAAGGCATCTTTTACACATTTCTTTGTTGAGGAAATCGCGAAAACAAGGTGTCGCAAAAATAAAGTCTAATAAGGCTAGTCAGTATGCGCTATTATTATATGGCTGTGTCTCACAAGGACTGGGAACTAACGAATTCACAAATTTGATTGGTTGAAATCAATATTGAAAGCGGTCTAGATTTTCCCATCTAGACCGGCATCTAGACCGGTCTAGAAAAGAAAGTTACAAAGAATATTTTCCGTCGCTTTCTAGACACAGCCATATAATAAACATCTTATTAACCGAGCTAGGTCGGTCTGTGTGGGAGAATCATGACCTCAGTCGCTGATAGAGACCTCACTGCGTTCGTTCTGTACTGGCGACCCCGGTCAAGATTCTCCCATACAGACCTCCCGCTCGGTTAATAAGAACTATATATTAACCTTATCAGAGTTGCTCCAGTAACATGTTCAGAGAGAATTACAAGTTATATCGTACAAAACTTGACATTTAAATGTGTGTCTTACTGACAGGTTTAGTAATGACATGGGTACTTGCCAAATTTATGGCAAGGTAAACGCAAAGAGCTTAGTAATTGGTTTCGGGAAAAAAATTAATTATATCGATAGATAAAATGGTAACAACACCAGTCAAACGATAACATTATTGGCAGTAACCTACGAGTTTTTTCACGACCTTACAAAAAACAGCATTAATTATATTTCTCGACTTTGGTGCGAGTGTCACTGTTCTCCATTTTTTTTTTTTTTAATAAAAATAAGGCTTCTTTATGTTCATCATCTCTGACAGCTTTTACGTCAATAATCAAGTCATGATCGAGCTGATATAAAATTTAATTAATGATACTTTGCGTTGTAATTATATTTCTACATGTGCTAGTTTATAGTGGCAATATTCTGGATGAAATTTTCATCATATCTGACTCGTTTTGATAAACATAACTGACTTATTCTTACGTTATTTGGAAAAAAAGCTATGGGTCGGTTTTATTTCTGCTTATTTTTGTAAACCTTTTGTTTCCGCTAGAATGATAAAGTAGGAAATGTTCCAAAAATCTACATCGAGTTGGGAATGGCCTTCTGCCTGGGTAAACAAAGCCATCATATCAGGAAGTCATGTGCCTTACGAGAATGAGGAACATGACTGTTTTACATGGGCAGGTGTAACAGGGAGATGCAATTATCCGGCAGAATGGCTGTTACATGTCTAATTGCTGCACGTTCAATTTACGGCGAGCTCAGGCCCGAGAAAGCAACTGTTTAGGGCCCCTGTTGGTTAAGAATTGAAGCTAACTCATGAAAATTAACTTTCAATTCCATATTCACTTAAGTTTTTCGTTATACCACACGCGTTTACTATCGAAAAGATTAAATAAAAAGAAAAAAGTCATTGGCTCAAGAAATTAACAGCCATGAGTGATCTTTCCAGTATTTATCTTTCTCTTAAGAAAAATACCAAATTTTCAGTCTTTTTTGTAAGACTCATGTCAACATTGAAAGTTGTTTTTCCTTGATCCTGCACAATTTCATTACTTTAGATAATACAGCAATTGCATTTAGAAAGTCAATGCACAAGCGCGAGACCTTCTCCTGTTAGCAATAGTTGCTCTCGTTTGAAGGATAGAATTGTCCTCGATCATTTCCAAAGACTGCCGGCTAGGAGCAACTTGGTTCAAACTTCTTCCTCTTTTGAGAGGCAGACTGTTCAAAACAGCTTCTCTGAAGGCAGGAATTTGCCAAGAATAAAGAAAAGGATTGAGGCTTGAGTTAAGCCAGATGAAAACATACTGAAGATCTCGAAGCCAGTGAATCGTAACACAGCTGCAACTGTGGCAGAGGTTTAAAGTATAGATAATCACGCACGAAGGGGTGTAACAGATGAGGTAAGCAGCGAGTATAAGCACGAATGTCTTCGCTATGCGCCTTTCATGTTCAAGAGCCCTTCTATTTGCGCTTTCACAGTTCATACCGGAATGGAGATGCGAAGACCTCTGAAACTGTGTACGAAGTTTGTGATAAACGGAGATGTAGGAGAAGAAAAATATCAGTATGGTGGCAAAAATTGCCATATTGGCGAAAACAAAAGCGTATTGAATGAATCCTATTTCGAAGTACAGCACTGACGGCAGGGAAATGGAAACAATCCAAACGAAGATCGATACAGCGAGAGCATGGCTTGGGCGTATGTTGTTCCTGTAAATGACTGGATGCGCGATGGCGATGTAACGATCGGCAGCCATTGCTGTAAGGCTGAGAGTTGATGCCGTGCAGCAGATGAAATAAGACACATGAGCCACTGCAAGAACTGGCAAGTCAGGATGATTTGTTAATGCTTCCAGCAGGTGTACATTGGTAGATATCGTCAGCACGATAAGTCCAACAACGAGGTCGGCAAAAGCCAAATTGACTACCAAACAGTTGAACGCATTCCGTAGTAACTTTCGTCGCTGCTTGTACACCGCCCAACAGATGAGAAAGTTTGTGGGCACTATGAAGAAAAACAGAACAAAGGAAATGACCGTCGTGAGGAACGAAAGTGATATTGGAGGAGATACACTGGAGCAGTCTTTCTTGTAAAGCAACATGGCAATCACTGAAATGATCAGCGTGTAGACGAAATATTTGTCGAATGAATAGGTACCACATCTGACTGTCGTCGCGGTTCTGGCTGGGCCGTAGAATTCAACAGAATATCAACGTACCTAAGACTGTTAAAATATCACACGCCGAGAATAATATGAACGAAGCTGAACAGGTGCGCTTGAGTTTACTTACATCTATATGGCTAAAGATTGCAAAACAAACATGGTATCGCGACACTTAATAGAACAATTCAACATTAGAGGAAGTGGATAGTTTCATTTCAGCGTTACAAAATATAAAGGTAATCTAGTCTTATTACAGTCATTTCTTCATGTGTCAATATCAAATAATTCGAGAATTTATTTTGTTAAGTCGCAAATATTATAACGGCTACTAAGATAGTGATACAGGGCGCAAGTACGAACCTGAAACCAGTGAGAAACAAGTTCTATATATTTTTCATTTCAGTTTTGAACTGTCCGTAGCCTCTTTCTCCGGCTTAATCGTTCAAAGCAAATATTCATTCCTTCTCTAAATAACAAGATGGCCGCAAGGTAGGACTACCATTTACAGACTTCACAACAGATGTCAAATGTTACGTACTGACACCTTGCAAACAACTTAATCAATTCGTTACTGACAAACCCAAACGGATCTACTTTACGACTAAGTGACTACACAACAAAACTGGCCAATCAGTGTCCATTTACAAACAATAGATTACATTGAAATGAACTGTTCACTTCACAAAAATAATGAATTCAACTTAGGTTCAGGAAACGTCCATCAATGTTGTTGTAAACGTTCACAGTGATATTGATATTACTAATAATAGTGATAGTATTCGTAAGAGCATTGATTGGCTCCTTTCGGATACGTCCTCAACAGCCCATTGTGGTTCCCTTGAAGTAATGTTTACTGCGTCCTCAGCAGCCCATTGTGGTTCCCTTGAAGTAATGCTTCTTTTATAGCAAGAATCTATCCATGTGTAATTTCTATTCCACGGACTTTTTTCCTGGATGAAAATCATGTAAGGTTATTCCACTTTTCAAAAATGGGGTGAGGGATGACATCGACAATTATCGTCCGATTTCAATTTTGCCAGTGGTGTCAAAGATTCTTGAACGGGCTGTCCAGCAGCAATTGGTGGATCATCTGGAGTCACACAACCTTTTTTCTAGATGCCAATGTGGTTTCCGTCGTAAGTATTCGACACAGAGTGCAATTATTTTCCTTGCTGACCCCATAAGAAGGATAATGAATGCTGTTCAGCTAACAGGTGCCATCTTTGTGGACTTCCGTAAGGCTTTTGACTCTATTGATCATAAAATGTTGCTTGATAAGCTGCAATTATTTGGAATTCATGATAGTGAGCATCGTTGGATGTCTGATTATCTAACAGATCGTAACCCAATCAGTTTTCGAAGGAAGTGTCCTGTCCCGGCCTCAACAAGCGGTTTCCGGAGTTCCACAAGGTTCTATACTGGGCTCTCTGCTTTTTTCTTTGTATGTAACAGATATGCCAAACTGTTTACAGGCTGCTAATGTATTAATGCATGCTGATGATACCGTCATCTACTATGCAGCCTCAGATGCAAACCAGCTGTTGCAGGTGTTAAATGTCGAACTCAATTTTCTCTTAGATTGGTCTACTAACAATGATTTGTTTATTCCCGGATCCTGAGAAAATTGAATATGTAATCTTTAGAACTGCTACGAAACAATCAAATTGACTCTAACAATCTTTACAGTATTTATTTAGGAGATCAAGTCCTCAATTAATTGTAAACCTTTCTATAAGTACTTAGGAATATACCTAGACGAGTCACTATCTTTAAAGGAACAAGTTCAGTACTCGACTGGTAGACAGCTTGGTTTGTTAAGTAGGGTCAGAAACAGTCTCTCGCTTCACGCAGCTGAAAGAGTCTTTACAACTATGATTCTCCCCAAGTTAGATTATTGCGACTTTGTTTGGAATAATTTAGCTCCTTCTAGATATAAAACTTTAGAACGGTTACAAACAAGAGCTGCTAGAATTGTTTTAAAAGAAAGTTGCCTTAGTCACGATCAGCTGTTGCGACAATTAGGTTGGATGTTCCTTAAGACACGTTCTATGATGCATATTTCAACTTTTGTTTTAAAATGTGTCAATAATATTGCTCCTGAAATGTTCAAAGAATATTTTGTCTAGTTATCACATAATTATTTTACCAGGTGTAATGGTCTTGACCTTTTAGTTCCAATTGTTCACACCGAATCTGCTAAGAAAGGGTGCTTTTATTCTGGGGCACAAGCTTTCAATAATTTACCACCAAACCTGAAAGAAATTGAATCCCTATTAATGTTTAAAACGAAGCTAAAGGATTTTCTATGTAATTAACTTTTAATTTTTCTTTTGATACTTCTTCTAAACGAAGCTAAAAGATTTTCTATGTTACTAACTTTTAATTTTACTTTTGATACTTCTTCTATGTATATACTTTCCTATAGTTTTAATCTTATAATGTATATTGTAATATTTTTTAGGGCTTTTATTATTATTTTGCTAATTTTTTGTTTCCCAGGGCACCTATTTGTGATAACAGCTTCTGCTGACGGGTTTACCCTGGTTAAATATGTTATTATTATTATTATTATTATTATTATTATTATTATTATTATTATGTATACCACACTCTACGACTCATCGACATTGTGTTGCATAGGTAAGGGGAAAAGAAATTTCAAATGCATAGTTGCCTGTTATGAAGAAATCCTACAGCAGGAGAACTGCCCTGGACAGGTGATGAGGAAACAGTCAACAAAACAGCACGGAACAAAAAGCACCAGTTAAAGCTGCGAGAAACGAACCAATCACCTCGGAACATTATACTTCGTAAGCTGATGTAAAACAAGTCTTCATTGCCTGAAATCGAGAAGCAGAATACCGTGGAAAAATCGTGGTCAGCTTCAGATTTGACTTCTTCGAGACAGATGATAAAATTAAATAAAATTTTATTCATGGTATGTTTATTTTTCCCGACTGATGTTTTACTTAGAGCTTCAGTTCACATTCATAGTTTACAGGCGCCTCATGTTAATAGAATGACCGCACCACCGGTGTGACTGAAGCTGACTAAAGAAAGAAAACCTTCTCCTAAATTGCGAAACTGATGGAAACAAATATAATGATTCGTTGTAACAGACGGAGACTAAAAAACATTATATCGGTAGGACGGCTCTGTCATGGGGCCCCAGGTGTTAAGCAATTTGAAATTTGAAAATGTACCCCATCTGATCTTGAGGTGAGAATTGCAAATCAATTTCATTTAGCATTAACTCATCGAATGAGTTTGAGGTCCTTCTCAACAAAGCAAAAATGATTTTGCGTCAGCAAGATGCTAAATGTTTTAATAATTAATCCCAAAAACACCTCCACGATCCATGATTGATTTTTAGCAAGTGATTAAACAAAAATGTACACTCGAGCCCAATCAAAAGATAAGCGGCGTTGGCCGGGAGGACGTATTGTTTTCGATATAATGATCTTACATCTTTTATCACTAGCCGAACGAACAATATATTCTCTTTCTCATCGTGAAAACGAGTTCTTAGCTTAGTCGCTTTTTTGAGTAATAACTGCTTAACAGCTTTTATGCAGTTATTAATATGTTTTTGAAAGCATCAGCTCATACTTTTGTTCACCATTAATGACCCCTATATTCAGCTTTTCTCTCCTGAGCCGAAAACATTTCATTGATTTTTTTCCAAAATGTCCTTCGCATCAAATTTGATTTCAATTTCGATATCTTACCCTCCTAGTAGTTGTTTGTTATATCCATTGATCTTTCTCAGTTTCTTAATTACTTATGGCAGCATAAATTGTGCCCATAGGCTTTGCCGTCAGCACAATGAAGATAGGTGAGAGATACGATATAAAAGTAAAAGTAATCATTTATTGTTGGTTCATTAGACACACAATGCAACTTTCTTCAAAACGTCACATACTAAAATTAAAATTATTAATGGCTCTATGTTTACTTATAACTGAACACTCTCTTCCAAGTAACTGTCTCATTTTGCCTACACTGCGGATACAATCGACGGGATATATGTTCCGTGGGTTGCAACGCTTGAGTCATTGTCGTAGTCGAAACGTTCCTCCAAGTTGACGAAATTTGTTCCAGCTTCTTCGAAGCTCGTGAAAACAGTACTTTCTCTGAAAAGCCTAAAGTAAATGAGGTCATGGCACTTTCCGAGAAAGATTGTTCCGCCATACCTCCTCCAATATCGTTGTCGTTTTTCACGACGGCCGTCTCCGCAATCCTGATATTTTTTACAGTGCCGCCGAACTTTCTGATCTGCTGGGCGGTTTGTAGGGAAAGACGAAAACTGCTACGAAATGCGTTCAACTGCTTGGTCGTCAATTTGGCATTTGCTGACCTCGTTGTCGGACTTATCGTGCTGACGATTTCGGCGTATGTTCACCTGCTCGAGGCATTAACAACTCATCCCGTTTTATTCGTTCTTCCTGTGGTTCACGTGGCGTATTTCATCTGCTGTACGGCGTCAACTCTCAGCCTCACAGCAATGGCTGTCGATCGTTACATCGCCGTTGTGTATCCAGTCGCTTACAGGAACAAAATAACCCCGAGACGAGCTGCGTTTGTTTCGACCTGTATTTGGCTTGTCTCCATTTTGTTACCTGTGTCGGTGTATTTTGAGATTGGTTTCATCAAATACGCTTTTGTTTTCGCCAACACGACCATTGCTGCTACCGTTATAATCTTGTTCTTTTCTTACATCGCACTTTACCGCAAACTTCGCGCACAGTTTCAGAGGTCGTCGCAACTTCAATCTGGAATGAATTCTGAAACTGCCATTAAAAAGGCTCTTGAACATGAAAGGCGCATAGCGAAGACATTTGCTCTTGTGCTCGTTGCTTTCTTCATCTCTTACACCCCTTCGTGTGTGTTTATCTACATTTTAAACTTCTGCCAGAGTTGTAGCTGCGTTACCATTCACTGGTTTCGCGACCTTCAGTACATTTCTATCTGGGTTAACTCAACCCTCAATCCTTTCCTTTATTCTTGGCGAATTCCAAGCCTGAAAGAAGCTATTTTAGCTGGAATTCCCTTTAAAAGGAGAAGGACAGAAAATCAAGTGACTGACGGGCAGGAACTGACTAGGGTTAACGAGCGAAAAAAGTAGTCAGTGGAGGCAGTGTGGCCGAGTGGTTAGAGTGTCAGACTCGTAATCCGCCGCTCCCGGGTTCGAGTCCCACCCTCACCACTGGATTTGTTTCACGGTAGCCCCGAGTTCACATCCTTGGCCCCGCTTGTAAATAGCCAACTGGTTTGCCTCCGGCCGGTTGGGGTTCTTAATGATATTATGTTCAATTTAGACCATTTGTTTCATTTGTTTGCAAGGACCACAATGGAAACTACTGGTTCACCAGTAATTGTGTAATCCTATTAAAAAAAAAAGAAAAAAAAAGACAATAGGGCCACGCGGAAAATTTCGTACCAACACTGATATGGTTATGAAAGGAAAGGATTGACAAGATACATAAGACACTTGTCCCTCCCGCGGGTGGGATCAAGAGAATCAGGAATCTTTGTGATGATTCGAGCCCCGGTAGAGAATCATGATTTCTTGATAATGTCCTTTGCCCACAGAATTACGTGAGCGGTGGCAGAAAGTAAAAAGCGAAACTCATGAATCATCGAGATCCCTGCTGATCTAGTTCAGGCCAGGAAATTCAGCTCTAAGAATCCTCGCGATCCATCGGGAAGGCTGACGAGGTTTCGAGGGCGACTAGAAAGTTCGGGAAATCTACAAATTTCGAGGACTCGCTGCATATGTCGATCGATAGAGACTATATCTTAAAGCCAAATATTTATTACACGAATGAGACAACCTTCCTGGAGTTTGCCTCCATCGAAAGCATCATCTGTCGTTGAATAAAAAAGGCGTGGTAAAATTTGGGCTCGGCCAACGAAATGGATCATCTTGATTGAGAGTTTAAGTATAATTTCATATAAGATATAAAAACTGATCAACCAAAAAATAAATGGTTCAACTGGCTTAAAATTACACCGTTAAAAAACTTAAGTTACCGTTATGATGTTTGGTAGATGTACAGTTCGCACTGAACTGAGCGGGTTGATTTCGTCGTTGTTCTTATCGATTGTGAGGATCGACTAAGCAATGGAACCCCTACATTTGCTGTAAATATATACGAGTCAGTTTCTACCGTACCGTTTCCATGAAGTTAGTAAACGTTTGTCTTTTTCCTAAAATATCAAACGAAATTAAACCAAAATGAATTCATCCAAAAGGTGTTCCTCAATCGGAACGCAACGTCTAACCTCGCTGGCTTGATCATGACAAGTCACGATAAAACAATCTGATAACAAAACGGATTAAGTTGCTGTCCACAGATTGATGTTTTACACCTGGGACGCATTGTTTACCTTTTCATGCTGTGCAAATGTAGTGAGGCTAGCTTATGTTTACTACCCACTCAAAAACAAACAAATAAAAGCAGATTTCAAAATCAAACTTCAAAAGTTGTAGTCCGTAGTCAGTCATACCTTCTTTTATGTCTAGCGAACCAGGACCAGGTACATGTACTCTGTTTTAAGGCTAAACACTTCAATCGAGACAGACAACGTGTTTTAGCCCATCTTTAAAGGAAAAAGCATAGGAAAAAAATCAGATATCGAAAAATGATTATTCGAAATTCAAACTTCTATTCTTTGCAGGATAATTTTTATCATGCTGTAAGTAAAAAATGCATTTTCAAATGCATTTCGATGAACTAAAATTCAATAGACGTTATCAGTGCATCACAATGGTCGTACATCATGAAGGCCATATATGATAAACTGTATGAGTTAAACCTTCTTCAATCTGATGCAAATATAGAGTACCTCTCCTTAGGTCTCCTCAGTAATGTGAATATAACCACTGAACTTAGCAGTGACGACGTTCTGTTCAAGGACATTATTTTCGTACTTAGCAGAGAGAATTTTTGAATGGGACTTGTTTTAAAGAAAGATTTCTCGATCTCCGTTCTGGAGGCGTTTTGCATGTAAAAGTTCTCTTAGTTCAGCGTATGCCTAGAGGTCTGGTCATGTCGTAAATGTTCAGAAATCCCGCTATATATAGTCCTGTACGAAATGCAATATTGTGATGAATTTTAATGAATCATCTAAGAACCCTTTTTACTTGAGAATAATGTAAAAAACTATTACATGCGCAAACTATTTGAATAATGAACAGGGGCGGAATATAATGTCATGCTTTGAGCCTATTTGTTTACGTTGTGATCCATTATCACTGACAATAGACACGCCATATGGCAATAGACACGCCACTGGCTATATGACAATAGACAATAGACACGCCACCGGCTGCAGAAATAAGTCCTCGAGCACCTTTCATAC